ACATCTTTTTCCTGTTGTTTCCTGTCTTGAGTGCTCCGTATGTTCTCTGTCTCTTCTCATCATGGGTTCACCACGGCCACAAAAAAAGTTATCGGAATAAATTCGGACGGGCAAATGGAGTTGACCGCTGTTTCTGTCTCTGTTTTCTTCTTCTCTTTCTGTTTTCCTCCCTTTATGTGTGTTGCCGCCCTATACCATCGAATCTGATATCCGTTTTGATTCCCAATGACGTACCCCTTTTTTTATTCTTAACGAACTACTTATAATCAACAACTATCTCTTGTTTGCTACTCGCTTTCCATCAAACCTTCTGCAGCGCATCTTCTGGCAAAAGCTGAGGCCCAGATCAAGTCAACCTTGTGCTAACGGAACGGTTGGCTCCCTCCCGCTCCTCCACCTCCCGTATTCCTCCCACTGCAGCGTAACGAACAAATAAGAAACAAAGCAACACCTAAGATAAAAAAACAACTTGCCAGCCTATCTTGGCCATGTAAGCAAGTGGGTGGTGGCAGACATGCATAGCTGATTTATTTTTCGTCTTCTTTTCTTCTTCGTCTTTCGTCTTCCGCGTCCTTTTCCTTTCTTTTTGTCCCACTGCAACTCACATTCATCCTTAACTACCCACCCGCTCCCTGGCCGTACGCCGTGTAACTCCTCGGCTCAGCGACTATCAAATGGGCCAGGCATCTTTAGTGGGCGTTAACGCTGTACGGAGTATAGCAGGAGAGGATTGACCCTGCGATAATACCCTACCAAAAAAGAAACAAAGCAAAGACTGTCTCAGCGATCGACCGCACATCCAGCTGCGTTCCTTCAAGGGTCAGCAACGCCCTCTGCCTATCAAAATACAGAGAGCAAGAAAAGGGCGCCTGGCGAGCTCACGCCCAAGGGTGGCGGGAGACAGGGGAGCGAAGGGCGGAACAGCAAGGAACATGTCCTAACTGACTTACGGAGGATGCGTTTATATTGCCAGCCATCGAAGGCCCATGTAGGGCCATGCAGGATGCAGTTTTGGATACTGATTGTCTATCTGTGGGCGTTGATCTGGCGCCAGCAGGGATTAATGAGTTAGTGAGTTCACTGCTTAACTCAGTACTTACGGGAAGGGTATATTCTCTGCTTCTCCAGTTTCTAGACTCTGCGTATCTTCGCTTCTTTCTCTTTTTTTCCATCAGGGTTGTCAAAGTAGTTAACTAACGAACGAACTACTTAATTAGTGAGCATTGCTTTTTTTGCTTTTTGGTGATTTCAAATGCCAACCAGCCTGTTCTTCGTCGCCTGGGGAAATGGCCGTACAAACCGCCGAGTTAGTCAACTCATCACCAAGGCGGAATATTGCTCCTCATGGATTATCGTCGAGATGAGATATGCCATTCTTCGCTGACTTAGGATGCAATTGCATCAAGATACCGGTAAAGAAAATGCATACCATGGACCAACTGTATAGTTGTTATGGTGTCCAAGGTTCAGAAGTTAAGCAGTTAGCTATGGATCATCATGGGGAGATCCATGGCCTTAGCTGATGATACCGTTACCTCCAGCAGCTATGGCGATACGCTTAACGACTTACGACTTACTACGGGTTGAAGCATATCCATTAGATAGTGCATAGGGCCAAGTAGAGTTGATTGTTAGAATTGCCTGTGGCGATTATCTCAAATCTCGGGGGCGGTCAATCAATGATATCAAATATTAAAGAGACGCTGCAACTGCTCAGATTCACGTCCACTTCTTCCTCAATACCCGTGAATACGGCTTTGAGTACCAATCGATTGTTGGTGTTGCGACTAGGATGACTGCAACATTAACTGACCCTGTTGAGTTACTAATGGATATCTAGTACTGTCAAGAGGAGATTCAATCGCATTGAACGTAAAATCCATGGAGCACGCTGATAATAACCCCTCTCGTTATTCTGTTTAATTGATGATTCGAGTGTTCTTCATCCATTGGTGACTTAGACTATCCCAATACCGTGTGTATAATAGACAAAAGATATACAACCAGGCAGATCATCGAGTCATTCTATATTGCAGTTCCCCAAGATAAAAATAAAAATAAAAATAAAAATAAAACATATATATACTCATGCCATGAGATTAACATATATATTGGTCCAAACTAGCCTTGCGCTAGCGTTATATACCAGACACGGGGAAAGTGAGATCTGGGGACAGCCGGCCTATACATCAAGCATACTTCTGACACGCGGTTGATTTCTGGCCTGCGAGACGAGTGTTTCGCCGGATGACTGGGAAAACTGGCTTGCCGCACTGCTGTGGAGTCGACCTGTTCTGGGTCCAGGTTCGACGGGTGCTTCGGTAGGTTCGCTACCAGTAGACTGGGGATTTGGAGGGTGGCGATGGTCATCTGTGAATGGGTCTGCGTTGCTTTGTGTGTGGGAATCGACGGAATCCCTATATCGGTTGGTATCAATAACGCCCATCTCCACCCTTTGTTCTATATTTCGTTGCGTCGGTCTACCACCGCCAACCTCTGTAGTGAGAGCGCGAAGCCTTGCCTCATAACTGTTTCCAACGTCGCCCTTGAAGTCGGGCCTCAGCCGCCTCCACCATGCGGGCTTCCTTCTACCGGCTTCGATGCCGAGCTCAGTGTCGTTGGCACGCCCACGCTGAATTCTCTGCCTTATCAACTCCCTATCCTCGTTAGATTCAAGATAGGCGAAGATATTGAGAACCGTGACTATCATAAGATGTGGCCCATATCCTAAGCCATAAAGATACCCCGGATTGCCGTCATATTTCAGAGGGGATATTTGCCAGATAAAGGAGGATGCAATATTGAATGCAACAGAAATTCCCGCAAGGGTAATAACGATAATGAACTTGGCTGGGATAGACATCACTATGGATATAAGTGAAGGTTGTCCCTGAGCCTGCCACTTATATCTGAATAAGCTATGTCCAAGGCTGTAACATATTATGCAGATACAAAAGCCTGTAATGATGTTTCCGGCTTTGAAGCGGACATCAGTTGCTGCTTTCTTGGCTATAGCTTCTTGTTGGTCAAAGGTTCGTTGTTTCTCTATCGCCGACCACGATCTTGGGATGTATAGGAAGAAAGACAAAAATGCAAATAAATAAAATATTAGCGGCAGGAAGAGCTCTTGTCGCTCTCTAGTTGATTCTGCAGGGAACGCGGAACTATCTCGGTCAACTACCTGGCGTTCCTGCCACGATCCCCTACAATCTATGTTAGAATAAAAAGCAGGACAAAACAAAATAAAAAGAAAGACAGGTTACTAACCAGTGCCGGACGCCCTCCCATATCATGGCAAGCATCACGGGTATCATTAGATAGTAGAAGAAGCTCTGCAAAATGATCGCGGTCTGAGGTAGATAGTCACGATCCACGTCAATGCTCATGAAGCAGCTAACCACTCCGCAGACAGTAAGAAATATCATCCAATACCACGGTGCTCTCCTCCCAACAATTGTCCACCGCTTTTCAAGCGGTAGGAACCGCTCGCCGTGTTTTCGGAGGTTGATGACCGAAAGGAACAATGTGGCCGCAAAGAGAGCTGCAAATGCAACTCCGATGCTCCCTCGAGCCTTCAGGCCTTTAATCGGGACATAGCATGATGTACCGTTTATAAATGTTCCGTTCGACAGGAGAAGTGGCTTGTAGATATCGAACGTCAACCAGCAATTAGAGCCGTTCGAAAGCGTCCCGTTCGAATAAAGGGTATAGTTAAAATAGTTTAAGGTCGTGGTATTGAAGTGAACACCGTTTATCAGCGTGTCAGTTTCGTTATCGCCAGGGGGGAACTCGAGAAGCTCCCGCATGGAAAGAATTGTCATGGCGAACGGAAGCTGGGGAACCCGTTAAAACCAGCAGAATCAATCGCCTCAGGAAGCGAAATGGCGACACAGCCAGGCACCTATGGTCCCATTGATAAGGGGGACAGACTGCTTACGAACGGAGGCCTATCCGGGGGAAACGAAAGTGAAGTGCAGTCCTAACGGACTATTATATTTACCTACACGGCAACTTCGGAAAGAAAAATCAACGTCATGGCGCTGCTTATGTAATACATCACGTGTGTTCCACTTTTTAAGCATAACCTTAATCTTGTTTGAAGACTAAAGAATGTTATTTTGTTGTTTATTTTTGTCAGTTTCAACTTCATTTCTTCAAGTTCAATAACTGATAAGACTGGGCAGTAATTCTGCTACATGGCCTAGTCGGTGGATTTAGCATACAACATTAAAATCATGATCCATATCATCCTTGCTACCGGTATCTCCATAAGACCTATTCATTAGCTCCATAAGCTATAGCGGCCGGAAGTTGCGAGTTGGATGCAAATTAGAAGCGCGAACGTTGGCGTTCGATTCCGGCGGCACAAGTATCATCGTGCCATCTGAGCAGAATATCGTCAATATACCACATAGTAGCTCTACCATCCATCTGCGCGTCGATCTCAATTCCAGATAACCCACTGAAGCCATCCCCAAAGAGGACTTCGGTTAGGATACAGTGTTTGGGTTCGTGGCAGGGAGGAATTGTGAATCTGCTAACTCCAGCACGGATTTCAGTACCGGATTCCGCAGAGTACTTTGATCCCTGGACAGTTAACTCGCAGGAAAGAGAGGCATTCCCAGTATTGCAGCCCACTTGAGCACTGAAGGCATCGAACCAAAACAGTTTCTGAGAAGCGCGGGGTCCTCCTCCAAAATTTCCCTTGGATTGAGGCTTCTCACCCTCTCGTTTTGTTGGAACATGTATACCAATGTGAGGATTCGACACTGGAGTAAATAGCTCCGCTGGAGGGGGTCCGTACGACCAACCACTAGAGAAAAGAAAATGGTGGTATGGGCTAAAGATGGGCGGGAAAGCAGCTGTTTGGTTTTTGCCAGGTGAGTACACCGGAAGATCATCAAACTAGACATATTGTTAGACCAAATATATTATATTGGAGTTAGCCGTCTTACGTTAATTTTGAAAACGCCAGTTTCCCCGCACGTGGTAGGAGTTGCACCAGCTGCGGTAGTGCGTGATAAGGCTACCTCACCCTTCCCTAAAATACATTAGATACACAAACTCACTGAATTTTCATCAATAGTACTTGGAATATGTAGGCTGCCAGTAGCCATGAAGGTATACATACCGAAAGTTTGAATGGGTGCTATGGATTTGGCAGATACCAACGGAGATGGTTGTTTCCCATCCCATGCTTCCTTCCATGCCGCTACGTTGCCCTTTTTTGTTGCGGTCACCGTATCTCCAACTGATCCTTCATGCACTTGTGATCGCATTGATAAGGTGGAAGGTTTGGCTGTGGAGAGTTGCATTTCGTATTCGATCATTCCAGCTTTGATGGCTTCGCTGGTCGAAGGTGTTACAACGGTCGAAGCATTCCATCCGCCAGAACCAAGCCCAATTGAAGGAAATGCAGAAGACTTGGTTGTTAGAGCTTTAATTGAACTTGGAATACTTATGATGGATCCAACTGTGGGGCTTGGCTCTGTGGCCGTGGAAGTGACCAGGGTTTGTTGTTTAGTAGCTGAACGGGTGGATGTGGAGAGCACCGTCGTATGAAAGAGTATCTCAGTAATAGTGACGGTGACGATATTTGCAACAGAGCAGTTAGGCTCACTATCCACGAGGGGCTTGGAAATAACATCTGAGGTGATTTCCTTGCCTTGCGTCGTAACTTTCTTCCCAGCGAAGTGACATTTTTCAACCACAGAGATGGTGCTTGTATATGGCATAAAACTAGTGGTTAAGAACGCTGGTTCATCAATAATGTTAGCCGCGAGTGGAAAGGTAGTGGAAACAGCTTGCGTAGAAGCAGTAACATTTTGGAAGGGAGCGAATGCTGCCTTCGTTGTACGCAGCGTAGGATGTTGGATCCCCGATGTGGACAGGGCCTCACGACCGAGTCTAAAATCGCCAGTTGACCGTCTATAGTTTAAGTATCAGCACTGCTCTGGGACGAGACGCGAAATAGTGAGGTGACAAAGGAGGCTTGTACATCGTCAGGGCACAACAGTAATGCCCTGGGATGAAGCTTTCGGCATCTACCCATAACAAGATGATATCAACTGAAGTAGCAGTAAGTGATAGGACTTACTCTCGGGGTAAAATAGCGGAAAATGCTCCCCCAGCAAGCGCTCCAATAGCCAGACAAGATAACAATGAGACACGCATCGTGACTACGATAGCTACCGTTGGTGTAGCGTTTGCCAGGTGTTGAAGGAAGCTGGTTCAAGCAAATTGAAGGAGGGAGAGATGGTATAATCTGATAGAAACACTTGTTTCCTCGTGGCGCGATCAAAGGCGTTCTTGGTATGAAAAAGGAGAGAGAGACATTGACGCGTTGAAGTTGGTGAAGTGAGGATGTCGTTGTTTGCTCTTCTGGGACAAAGTAGTTGGAGCTGCCCCGTGACCCGGGCGATGCAACGCCGGCAAGGCGCATGAATGGTAGGCAACGAACGACATCGTAGTAACTATCACTCACTTTGTATTTGAAAAAAAAAAAAAAATTGTCTTCTTGTTTGGGGAAAATGCCAGGTATCTTCTACGGTAGCTTTATGGAAATGGGATATGTTATATAGAAGACTACATCACTCAGGGCTTACTGTTATAGCGCACATAGAGAGGCTACTAAGTATAGCATAGTGCTGTGGTTAGGGTATAGTTTTGGGTTTGTCGTACCATTTCATGGAAATAGTAGGGGAACACATCAACGATCATGTCATGCCAGAGCAGCCATACTTACCCCTGAAACCCATGGATATGAAAGCCTTTTTGGCCGGAGTGAGGTTAATACCCGTTGATAAAATAAACCGAGAAAGTATTCTTGTGAATCCAGGTATAGGACACACTTAGTCAAACAGATGAAAGAACTGCCATATCTAGACTCAGATATATAACAGGCCGGTCCGGAGGAAGTAGGAGGTACCTTGTAAAGCTAGTTTTAACCAAAGCCCAGGAGACCAGGGACAAGCAAACCATAAGAATCATATGTTCCATGGTAATGTACCATCGGCTCTTGTAGCACGATGATAGTCCATCTGTTCAACAGAAGAGCCGTAAAAGGGCGAAAAGCGGTAATTTGCAGATGTTGTGTGGGAGGCTGCATACTCAATCCTCGGTGTCAAAGAATCAAACATTGGCCGTCTCTTATTTTTCGACTCCACCTAGCGGCATACTATGGATATTTTCGTAAATGGCAGTAAAGATGTTTGATGGAGTGACCGGAATTGATGCACCTGGATCCATTAAAATTATAGAAAAGCAATCGCCCGTCTTCTCAGCTTTGGAGTCAGCCATCACGGCCTGAAGTATCGCTATTGGTAAATCATCAGCCTGAGTTGGCTCGTATCTGCAACTTACATTAGCATTGGCCATTCATCTCGAGCACAGATAGACAATGGCATGAACGATGTACCAATCCTTCGAGGGTATTGTTAAATGGCCGTTGGGTTTCATGGGGAAGAAAAATTCTAGCTCCCACCTCTAAAAAGCAGATAAGAAAAAGCAGCCTCAAAGGAAATTGCTTAGAATATAAGATATCGTCGTGATTTCAATTTGTCTGGCTAGGCGCCTTTCATTGGAAGCACCCGTATCTTCGAGTGGCATCTCGGATCAGACTACCCTCTAGGGGAGCAGAACTGCTCCACTATTTAGACAGGGGGCCACAAAAGTAAAGGTGAGCTTTCCATAACACACTCCACCATGTTTGTTTGCCCCAAGGCTTTCGGTGGGTGGAGAGATAAGATCAACAGTGCAGAAAATGCGGGACATGATGTATGACAGAGCCGTCGTCCATCAACAAAATATTTCCTGTCGCACACCGCGGATGCCTGATCTAAACCAGCTCGAGATAACGTAGCATGACGATGCATGTATTCACAGACGACAGGCTTTTCTTTCCGCAGTGTATCACGAAAACAATCTCAACAGGCCAACATATACTGGCCGAGATTTCCCGTCACAGCCCCGCTCCGGCAGTGGAAAGAGAGATAGCTTCCGATTGTTGACACAGGCTGTTGTGGGGACGAAGCATGCCACGCATAACCAGCAACCGTATTAGAAGGGCAAATAAGCTGTGACAAATACTCCATATTCTGTCCCATACTTGGTCATCGCACGTACAGTGTACTATTTCTCCGTATGATCCGAGATTACCTGGTTACTGAAGAAATTCATACCCCAGAAATGTTATCGAGCCAGCATTCGACGTTAACGGATGCTCGGAAAGCCTAAAGCATTTCCTGGCCCAGGACAAGCTTCAGTTGGCTAGTGTGGCGCAGTATAGGAAGTGGTAAAAGGATTCAGTTGATCCTGCTTCTTTGCGATTCGCAAGTATCGTGGTTGTCATTGGGGCCCTGTTTTTTCTTTCTTTCTTTCTTTTTTTTTTCTCTCTCTGGTACTTAAAAACAATTTGAATTTGGAGCCTAAGCGAATACTGGGGGCTCAACACCATTATCAGGAAGTTGTCGTGTGAATGAGGGACAGAGGAGAGATATGTGCTCTCATCAAGATCTTGATATTTCTTTTCCCTCCTAATAATGCCATGTCATCATCTATTCCGTCCCAGATAATGAAATTGTCCTGCAGCAAGGTACATGTAGGTATTGCCAGGGCTTACTGTAAATGAGTAACATTTTGGGGAATCAAATAAATTTTCCTGTACGGAGTACGGAGTACGGAATATTGCTTGATAGGAAAAGATGCTGGCACGGAGTTCACGGAGAAAAACTCCATTCGCATTGCTGACCACCCCGTTGCATTCCATGGGCTCGGGAATGACGGCTGGAGTGGTCCCTTGCTAGCTGAAGGTGTCATGCGACATCTTTCCTCCTCTGTCAGGACCAAGCAACTCCACCACTGCGGTACAGAGGGTTCGAGACGTTGAGGAACTCTGTTTGGTCAGCTTGTGGAAGGGGGATACGAAGAAAAATGACGCGTTCCGTACGTTCTGTCGCAGAGCAGAGTACGAGGTATGCGTCAGCGTAACTTTTTGCTTCAAGGCGCAGGGCCGCTCGCAAGAGGACTGGATGAAACGGACAAATCTTGCGTTTTCGTAATTTCATAAACTCCACAGCGGGTATTATTATGTCAAAACATCTGCATCATGGATTTTGGCGCATAGACCCAAAGGAGTTTCTAAAAAGTTCTTTTTCTCAGGGCCGAATCTCTGATGGTGTCGAACCTCAAGCTGACATACATTTATATTTTACATGTCGGCTGTGGCTGCAAGGTTCACGGCCCACAACTATAATAGGCGACTGAACTAAAAAGGTTCTGGGGCCGTCAAAGGTTTGTTGCCTTGGGCCTGGCTCGGGGAGTGCGGCCCGCCAGTAGAAAAGCGGAGCAGGTCCCACCAAACACTTCTTTTGTGTAGTTACGGGGATGGGCTTTTCTGTTTTCACCCAGGGCGGAATTAGTCCGGGTCATTTTCGCGAGAGAAGGTAATATACGGAGTACGCTCTCTCAGCTAGAAGGGGGAGAAGTTATGATCAAACATCTTGCCTCAAAGCACCAGAGACGATGGCTATACAATGGCGTTGTGCATTGGAAGCGAGTCGGTCCCCGAATTCGTAGGCCTGGCTCATAAGATGAAGAGATCAGCCACTTGCGTACAGGCGCATCCGAGGAACTGCATAGGGTTTAGGTGTTCCTACTACCATCAACATTTGAAAGAAAATGGCCTGAGTGCCAAATGTGAAATGAGAACTGAAACTCTTTCTGTTAATGGCCAGTTGTAGTGGAAGACGATTAATGGTATTGGCCCTTTTTTTGATGGGGATGGTTTCGATCGCCGATCGCCCTCTGGCTCCAACCCTTTCCCGCAGGTGGAACCATTGTTAGGAGTATCATTCCTGACTGGACCACAGATACGGCCAAGGATTGAGCCTTGAGGCCCAAACACTGGGTTTATTCCATTTTTGGACAAGCCGGAGTACCTTGTCTGCCATGCTTGCTGTTACACTCTTCAGTATGATGGGTTTGGGCTGTTAATGCTCCGTTTTTGTTCAAGCTCTTGATTACCCTGGCGTAACCCTGCTTTTGTTCGCTTGTGGGGGAAGGGGGGAAGGAAATGTCCAAACCCGAATTGAAGACCCACCATCGCTCATAACATGAGAAAAATGAAAAATGTGTTTATTTGATTGTGCCTTTGTGAATCCTGCGTTGAGCCTCTGTCCTCTTGCAACCACGGATCGAGAACTGCGGTATGTTTTATACATTGCGCAGTCACCTGAGCATGTTGCTTTTCATATGCGTGTCCCAAGTTGTCCCGTCTTGGAAAATCTTGTCGCCTCCCATGACCTTTAGGCGACAAAAGAGGCTTGCAGTCCACTTTCGAATTATGCTTTTCACTAATATATGCTCATGAGAGTGGGTTTCTTGCGGAAGCTTCAGCAGCGCACCATACTGGGGAGTATCCACCAGAGTCAGTCCTACATTTGTCCATTATAAAGCAATCTGTCCCTGGTGTAAGTACAGGGTACGTCGACTCCATGATAGTTGTGCATTTGTGGTACGGCGTGAACATGGTTGTGTAGCCCAGGGTGCCAAGAACTGTTCCAACCGCTCGCGTACTCTGTAGCAACTTCTGCTTCGATGTTCACTGCGTACATATGTTGTTCGTACTTGGCCTCGAGGAAGCCTTGCTCTGAGCCTTCTCTGGTGTGATTGGATCCCTTACTTTTAGGTTCCAAACCTTTTGGTGTGTATATTCGGGAAGTCAACACACTGGAAATGAATAGTGACAGTCTAGCCAACCTCCCAGTTATGGGGAAAAGAGAGTTTTGACCGAAAGCAATGCACCTGGCCAATGATACGGCGCCAGTGTGTCATCAGAGAAGTCACGAAACTAAAGCCAGAGACGACTCTGGTGTTTCCTTTTCTGAGTTGGTTATGTGTTGGTAGATGTATGGAGGTGGGGACTGTGTCTGCTGGCAGATTGAGAGGTAAAATAATGCAACAAAATGGCGCTCGATGGCATGGCGCAAAGTGGAGGCGGCTGGTAAATATTCAATATGCCGCTCAGTAAGCATTAAGGAACTCAGCCGAGGGTCTCAGGGGAAAGGAGCGGCATCGCACCCTGGAACCAGGGTTTACGGGACACCAGGACGAGGTTGCATTGTAAGTACAGGACAACAAGAATGGCCCATGAAATCAACCGACTTGAATGATATACATATCAAGGCCATGTGGAGACCTTTAGGAGAGTTGAAGATCAGCAGGTAAGGGGAAACGAACTATGAGCTTGTGCTCGATAGCCGTTTCTCGACCATGTTACCATTACCGTCACCATGAGGCCAAGTGCGAGCGCGAGTACGAGATACAGAGCATGTAACAAGCGTACAAACGAACAGCCAGTTAAATCCCAAATATTCTGGATGCTTCCTCACTGTGAAATTTTGTGCAATCTTTAGCTGCTCAAATGCATGTAAGAACACAACCGTGGTGGAGGAACCGAGCTGGGGAAGCCAGTAAAATTGGCGTCGTGGATCTGAGCGTGACTGCCAGGCCATGCCCATCCAGCCAAGGAATGGAAGATGCTATGCATGGTATTGTATCGCCTGATGCTGTGTGCGTTTTGATCTGGGGCTGAATCGCTGGCTCACGCGTCCTCATGTTGCACGTAGGAGGAGAAATACTCCGAGACAACATGTGAAGTGACCTATCCAGCCGCTTGCAAGACCTTTTAAACACACTCTGTACGCCAAATGGTTGCGCCCACGAGGCCGGCGTATCAATCGAGCGAGAGATATCTTTCTCCGTCTTGATGCCTCCTCCCATGGGCTGCCGTGTTGTGACGCCGAAAGTATTCTGGCATTCCCTTTTTTTTTTTTCTGTCTCGTGAGATTTGCACCAGGCGAGATCCCTTGCAACTGGCCAACCGCAGGGAGGGAGGAACTTGGGGTGAAGAGGCATCTCATGTCCCTATTATGTATATGTATATGCAGGCTTCATGCCGTAACAGCCAACCCAGTCCGTCCCCGCACTGGCCGCGATCGCTCTAACCAGAATCGTGATAATAAATACGACAAGGACTGACCAGGCTTGGGCGGTCATCTTGTTTGCTGCGTACTCTGTGTGTTTCCAAATGGCCGTATGCACTTCCGTGCAATTTGTGGACACCGTAATCCGCATACCGAGTTACGTTTGTATTGTGCTTCCTCTCTTCTTTTTCTTTTCTTTTCTCTCCAGCAAGTTCCTTTTTTGCTCTCTCACTCTCCATCTGTTCCTTTCTTTTTGTGTTGTTCGCCTCTGGCGACTTTTCAATCTGGTCCAAGGGCCTGGCTCCGGGGGCTTTTGGCTGTCAGACGGTGGACGCTTGCCCCTGGTTGCCTCTCTTCCAACCTCTCCCTTTCTCCCTGCGTTTCTCTCCATCCCAGGGAGAAAGTTTGATAGCATCCCTCATATCTGAATCAGTGCGTTAGAGTTGCGAGGCTAATCATCATTTGATTGAATCTGGCTCGGGCTCCCTCTCTGGTCTCTTTTCTTTTTCTCATAGGAGAGAAAAATTAGATAAATAAAACCTTCTCCTCCACCATTCGTTCTCCCTCCTCGTGTGTCCACTTTGATATGACCTAGTTCGAGACGAAGATCTGGATGTTGGATAAACCGTCGATGTTGTTCACTCAGAGGGCGCCGGCATTCGACGTTTGCCGCCAATCTTTAAATATCAACCTCGGCCGTCGCGTTTCCAGTGTTCGCAGCGAGCCTAGCAAGGATAGCAATAACCATAATAACACAAGCGGGAGCGGCAGCGGGTTTGATGGTGGGAGGAACAGGAGTGGTTGCTGCGAGGTAGCGGATGCAGACAGCAACGGGAGCAGCAGCAGAGCGACCAGCGACTCGGCCACACCCTCGCCCACGAACTCGACGGCCAACGAAAGCTTCTCCCGCCTATCCCTCGAAGCTCCCGATGACATCCCGCGGGGGTCGTCAGGTCCCTGGACGTATACTTCGACAGCCGAGCAGATCTACTCGACGCGGGTGTTCTCGACGGACCGCAACACATCAGACACAGAGTCGCCAATGCAGGTGTCCCAGTCCCTCAGCTTCACGGTGATATCTTCGCCCGCGTCTGCGATGCACGAAGAAGACGTCGTTCCGAAGATTGAGGAGATCGAGGACGAAGAGGATGGAACGGTACCGCTTAGTCTCCACCACGGTGAGCCACAAGATGGCAGAAGTGACGTTCCTCCATCGCCGACGGCCTGCGTTCCTCGAAAGCGTGGTCGGCCACGCAAACATCCTCCTCCTGTGCCAGGCCAGGCAAAGGTTACCAAGGGCAGATCGAAGACTGGGTGCATAACGTGTCGGCGGCGGAAGAAGAAATGCGACGAGACGAAGCCGGCATGTCTGAACTGTCAGAAAAACGCCGTGGTCTGCGAGGGCTATCCGGTCAAGGAGGTGTGGAAGAGCGGCAAGCAGAAGATCGAAGAAGGTGAGCTAGATATTACCCCTTTGGGACATTTCAACGTCTCTTCTCGTCCCGGCTGCTCTTCTATCAACCTCGCTGACACCACCAACCACAACGACAGCTGCCAGAAGACATTCCTTTGCGATTTTTGCCCGTGGGCTGCCTGTTCTCATCGACGGCATCGAAACGGACATCGACAGACGCTTCCTTGATCACTTTGTCAACGACTTTAGCCGAGTTCTCACGCTGATCAACGATGACTCCAACCCGTTCAAGGAGATCCTGCTCCCCATGGCCACCCAGCACAAGGGCCTGATGCACTCGTTAATGTGCCTGGCTGGCTCTCATCTCTCTGCCCGGGATCCAGAGCCGATGCTGAAGGAGCGGAAACACTACCACTTTCACCGCGCAATCACGAATCTGCGAAACACAATCGCCGCCCAGTCCTCAGCCTGCTCGCCCTCACCCTCTTCCACTACTACGACTGAAACCTCACCCGAAACGAGGGCCAAAGAGTCTCGGGAGAGCTTACCGGTCGAGGACCCTATGATTGCATCTACCATTGCGCTGTGTCTGCATACTATCTGCGAGGGAGAGACCAAGGGCGAATATCGGTCTCATATGGATGCTGCGAGGTACCTTCTGATAACCCAACGGCCAAGGAATGAAAAGTTTAGACAATTCATTGTGGAATTTTTCCAGTACCACGATGTCTCCAACTCAGTGACCACCCTAGATCGACGTCCGATCTGTTTTGCTGGTGACCTTCGTCTGCCTGACTTTGTACCCCATGCTCAGGCTGGTGCTCTGTTGGGCATTTTTGATGGCTTGTTCCACTATATATCTGAAATCACGGTCCTCCGGGATCGAATACGACAACGGATAAATCAAGGAATCGAACCTGCCATTGATTATCAGACGCTGAGTGAAGCAGTAGGGATAGACTCGCAAATACGAGCATGGGAACCCTCCTATCCTGCAGACAACCCCAACTGGCTAGCATCACAGCTGTATAGACAGTCCACCTGGGTGTATCTTTATAGGACAATTCGTCCCTCTCGCCCCGATGAGAAGATATCGCAGGTGGTTGACGATGGTCTGCTCTATCTAAACCAACTGCCGTTAGACTCCGGTGCATATAGTATTCTCTTGATGCCACTGTTTCTACTAGGATGCTCCGCGTTTGAACCTTACCAGCGAGAGCGCATCAAAACTGGATTCGATAGCGTACAGGCTTATTCAAGCCTGCGAAACATTGACGCTGCTCTTAGAGTGGTAGAGAAAGTCTGGGATGTTATGGATACAAGTCCAAACCTTAGCTGGGACTGGGAGAAAATCATTGATGACATGAACATGGACTTTTTGATAACATGATTCGCGTCTACAATTGCCAGTCACCCAGCCTAGGCTTGGGTCCTCCTTTAATCGCCGGAATAATAATTGATTCATGCCCTTGATATCAGTTATCTTCACCACAGATTCACCCTACGCCTTTCAAACACAGTGGCCTTCATGCTTTGCAGTTCCGCGGGAGTTCGGGAGCATCGGCGAATAATTACGATTTTATCACCATGTTAGCATGCTGGCGTCTGGTCATTTCATTCTACGCTTGACAAAAAAAATTATCCCCTTGCCATATACTCCTTGGTCCGATAAGTAAGTGCCTTTTATGGCATATCTCGCTCCTAGTTACCCCCATGTCAATGGAGGAACGGGGGAACTTCAACCACAACTCACCAACCCGGCCTTACTGATGTTTTCACTATATCTGCTTTTCGCTACGGTGTTCAAAGTCCATCGTCTGAAAGTTTGATGGGCAACGAACCGACTTCGGTATAGCACACCAGGCTTTCTAATGGACGCTTGAAATATAAAGCTGGCTCTCAACCCACTGGTTCAAGTTAAGGGTTGATTGTGTAGAGTAACGTTTTTTTTCTTTTTTTGTCTGATTTTGGTCAGCCATAGCCCATCCATTGTTAAGGTGTTTGGATTTATATATACACATATATTGTATGCATTGATATTTCCATTTCGTGATTCGTATTTTCCGCGAGACAAACTTGGAAGCCTTGGGATGGCAGTAACGGGCGGAAGTTATCACCGTCAACTCTTATAGTTATAATGACGTTCTATTTTTATACGTGTGCCTGCAATTATTGGACGACCCGCCTCCAAGTAAGTGCAAGACAAGCGAATCCACTACCAGGATGTTCCTCCCTGGCTAATAGCAAACGCTAATTTGCACCATCAGATGCTGGGATTATGCGACATCGGCCTTGATCCTGCGAACTATTTCACTTCACGCTCCCACCTTTCCCTCAACAAAAAAGTGAACGGCATCCATCCGGAATGTTCTGAGGTTTGGGCTCGTGGAAACACAGTTGGCCAGGAGATTGTCCTCCTCGAATGCCTTGCAGCGAAGTTCGCGGTATGTAAACATGCAGCACGAATCCCTGGGGCTATCGACCAACAAAGCACTCATTTACCCAATTCAGTACGGCCAGGAGCCTGGCGCTCGTAATGAAACCAAAGTGGCCCTGGATGGGAAGGGTCGAGAGCTTTACACCAATCTAGTCCCCTGTTCTCAGAGCTTTGCCTGTGTTGTCCTGTTACAAGGTGAAGTCATCCTGGATCAGAATCCCCCCGATTTGTTGTTTTATCCGGAACTTCCTTGCGACGGGAACGTTGCTTCCGTTACTCCGCTGGCTCCCATGGGTTTCTGGAAAAGGGCGCAGATTGAGAACGAAAACGAGCCTGCCGTATGACCAGGCCCATGCTCCTCCATCGCCAGATCCAGTCGAGGGATGCCCTCGTTTTCGTATTCCGAGCACTTGGTATGGGTACCTAATCTTCTGGATTGCTCATATTTTCGCCCTCCATTGCTTTGAGTCCTACCAGCTACGCAGGATGCTCCTACGTGTTGGTTTGATTCTCAGAATAAGCCATTTTCGACAGCAGATCTCTCCATAAACATGACACGATTTCTTGCCAGGCAACTCAAATTTTCTCTAAGGAAACACAGGAGAAACCGCAGAGGACCCCTAGTTAAACAACAACGGCCTGGACTGACCGGTAATAATAGATGTTGAAACCTTCCTAGCCCCACTGCACATAGGTGCATTAATAAACGGAATATGGGGTGGAGTCCCACCGCGGTTCAATGTTATGCTCGAGATATATAGCTTGGGGCTTACCCCAGACGAAGACAATCTTCTTGAAAATATACCATATTTATCAAAGCATTCGTTCACGACAAAGGACCCTCAAAATACCCCTTAGACACTCTGTATTTCTGGCGCGAGATGCCTCGGGAACTGTTTCGTACACAACCACAATTAATTGTACTCCGTTGAGCCTTGATAGCTAGCTGAGATATAAATCGGTTACAGTTACACCCGAAATGGTGATTTCACAGTGTTACACTCCAAGCCTTGTGGAAAAGGATCCCTTCGACCCGTCACTCGAAACCAGCGAGACCAAAGAGAATGCCGAGGATGTCACCCAGTTGTCGGATAGATCTCATCTGTCCCTTCGCGCTGTTCGGCCGGTCGACGTTGAAGTAAATGATCTTGCGCTTCATGTTGATACTACACCGTCAATATTTCAGAGCCCGGCAGCTGCAATATGGAGCCGTATCTCTCCTTCGAAGGGCCGGACAGCTTTTAAAACGATCCTTGATGGCGTGACTGCTAGCATGCCCCATGGCACTCTCACAGCCATTATAGGTGGCAGCGGATCTGGAAAGACTAGCTTATTAAATACCATTGCTGGTCGCATGGGTACTAGCCGCATGAAGGTGTCTGGAGGTGTTACATTTAATTCAAAAGGAACAACGAACGACAATCGAAGTGCATACTTGATGCAGCAGGATGTCTTAATATCCACCTTAACAGTGCGGGAAACATTTCAGTATTCCGCAGATTTGAGGTTGCCGCCGCCTACGACTGCGGAAGAGCGACATGCTGTGGTTGAACGAGTAATACTTGAGCTGGGCTTGAAAGAGTGCGCTGATACCAGGATTGGTAACTCATCACACAAAGGATGCAGTGGTGGCGAGAGGAGGCGTACAAGCATTGGGGTCCAAATGCTTGGAAATCCTTCAGTTCTGTTCTGCGACGAGCCGACAACAGGGCTAGATGCAACAAGTGCCTACCAGGTCGTTAGAAGCCTGAAGCGACTAGCTTTGGATGGCCGGACCATCATCATTTCCATTCACTCTCCTCGCTCAGAGATCTGGGGTCTGTTCGATAAAGTTGTCCTTCTCTCCCGTGGATCGGTACTTTATAGCGGCGATGCAGACGAATCTGTTGTATACTTTGAGAGACAGGGGTATTCTATACCCCCTTTCGTTAACCCCGCGGAGTTTATGATAGACTTGGCGGCATATGACAACAGGACGCCTGAGGCTGAATTAGCCTCACAGGACAGGGTTGAGAGCCTTAGAATAGCGTGGAGTGAAGCTTCGAGAAAGAAACCCAAGAAAGGCGAACCAACCTCGTCGGATAGGCAGCCTGTCACTGGCAGGAGCATACATGAGGGCGTCGGTTTTACTAGACAATTTTGGGTTCTGACCGCAAGGACTATTAAAATGACTATTAGAGACCCTATGGGAATGACAAGTTGTCTATTTGAGGCAATTGGCATGGCTGTTCTCAATGGCTGGGTATATTTGCAGCTTGATGGGTCCCTTACAGGTATCCGATCGCGGCAAGGAAGTTTATACACCGCAAGCAGTCTCAATGGGTATATCATTCTACTTTACGAAATTTTCCGGCTTACGACTGATATACAACTCTTTGATCGTGAAAGGAGCGAAGGGGTTGTCGGTGTCCCCGCCTTTCTGCTTAGCCGACGGGCCGCGAGACTGTTTCTAGAGGATCTGCCAGTGCCTATTCTATTTTCAACCATATTCTACTTTATGGTTGGATACCGACTGGCGGCTGCGGAATTCTTTGTTTTCCTGGTACTAAATATACTCACGCAGTATACGGCAATTACCTTTGCTGCTGTCTGTATAAGTCTTTGCAGACACTTTCCCGGGGCGAGTTTGGCTGGAAACCTGTCTTATACCCTTCAGACGGTAGCCTGTGGATACTTTGTTCAAGTCAATCAGATTCCAGTATACGTCCGATGGGTAAAATGGGGTGCCTATACCTTTTACGCGTTTAGTGCATTATGCGCGAACGAATTCATTGGGCCTAATGGCTCTGAGTATGGGCAGTTCTATGACTGTCCTTACTCAAAAGACCCCATGGATCCCCGGTGCAAAGAATATACCGGCCGATTTATAGTGGACAGCCTTGGGATACCTCAAAATTGGATTTGGCGTCCGATCGTGGTTCTTGCTTCTTTTGCAGTTTTCTTTTATGCTCTTGCTGGTGTGATTTTGAAATTTAACAAAATTGACATCATTGTTGCTCAACCACGGAATGCAGAAAAAGATCACTCAGTAGGCAAGGAAAAATTTGTCGCCCGTCCTCAAGCAGATAGTCGCCAGGTATCTATCAAGCTTGAGAACTATTCTTTGGATATCAAAAAGCGCTTCCTTACTCGACATGGGTTTCAGATGAAGAACCTGAGTATCATCAAACCTATCACCGCGCAGTTCGAACCGGGCAAACTCAACGTCATCATGGGCCCTTCTGGTAGTGGTAAGACGTCACTACTTTGCTCAATCGCAAACCGGTTACAGGGATCTGTCGGCACACGATACTATGTTGGAGGTGATATGTTATACAACGGTGCGAAGCCTTCAAAAGATGTCGTCAGATCCGTTACCTCCTTCGTCACACAAGATGATGACGCCTTGATGCCTTCGTTAACTGTTCGAGAATCACTGGAGTTTGCTGCCGGGTTACGTTTACCGACGTGGATGTCAAAGGATGAGAAGAACCGGCGAGCGGAGGCAATCTTGTTGAAGATGGGCTTGAAAGACTGTGCAAATAATCTGATTGGAAGTGACTTGATTAAAGGAATTAGTGGGGGTGAGAAGAGGCGAGTTTCTATTGCTATTCAGATTCTTACGGACCCAAAAATTTTACTCCTTGATGAACCGACATCAGGCTTGGATGTCTTCACTGCTACATCTATCATTGAAGTCTTGAACGGGTTGGCAGCGGAAGGTCGGACCCTTGTTTTGACAATCCACCAGTCAAGGTCGGATATTTTCCAATACTTCTCCAACGTTCTTTTGATAGCAAGAGGGGGATATCCAGTTTATGCTGGCAGTGGCCCAAATATGCTACCTCACTTTGAGTCACTTGGATACGAATGTCCTCGAACCACCAACCCAACTGATTTTGCCCTTGACCTCATTACTGTGGACTTACAGGCAAAATCAAAAGAGACTGCTACTCGTGCCAAAGTACAACGTCTGATCGATAACTGGGAAGTTAGTCCTCATGAAGGTAGAGAAGCAGAGGATTCCATAATTGCAGTGCCAGCGGAATTGGGTAGCCTGAAAAGAAAACCCACTGCGTTTCCCACTATGTTTGCACTAGTCCTCCGAAGGTCAGCAATCAACTTAAGAAGACAACCGTATCTCCTTCTGGCACGTACTATGCAGGTAATTGGTGTTGCAATAATCATGGCATTGTTTTTTGCGCCACTGAAAGATGACTATGCGGCCGTGCAGTCAAGAATGGGAGCCGTGCAACAAATCACAGCCTTATACTTCGTTGGTAAGTTTGCTGGTGTCGTCCTAGCTACTATCATCACTGATGTTCAATGTAGGAATGCTTCAAAACATTGCCATCTACCCCTACGAACGCGATGTGTTCTATCGCGAGGAAAGTGACGACTGCTATTCCACTGAAGCATTTATTTTACAATACACTACACTGGAGGTTCCATTCGAAATAATATCGGCACTATTATATGGTATCATCTCTGCCTATGCTATCGGTGTTAAGCGGACCGTGACCATGTTATTTATCTCATCATTCAACGCCTTCTGCATTACGAGTTGCGGGGAATCACTCGGAATTATGTTTTGCACTCTCTTTTCCCACGTTGGGTTTTCGGTCAATATTACCTCCATTGTGCTATCTATAGCAACAGTCCTGGGTGGCGTCATGAGCCTTAATATTCCCTCGGTTTTGCAGGCTGTAAACCACCTTTCTCCGGTTAAATACTCTATTTCCAACTTGGCACCTTATTCAATGCATGGACGCACATTTACTTGCGCTGACAAACAGCGTCTCCCCAATGGGCATTGTCCAATTGAGACAGGCGAGCAAGTACTGTCGCTCTATAATTTAAACAAGGACCCAAAGATCAACCTTGTAGCCCTTGGTATATGTGTGGTCGGCTATAGACTGGTTGCATATACATTAATTAAGGTCGTTCGAAGCCGTACACTTTGGAAAAATATGCGGGAAAGATTGTCAAAAGCCCAGAGGAACACCAAGGACCCTGTGAAGGATAGCAAAAGTACTTAGTTTTTGTATATATGAAATTTCAGTACATATAGTAATGAAGTAGCTACTTATTGAGTATTAAGATTCTATGATGAAATCGGAAGCCTTCGTCATGAACATTTTGCCCATCATATCCATATATGACACATGGTAGCAAATGGGTGTAGATTGTCCTGTCGAGAGGCAACCATTTAAGGTTTCATTTTGTGGAGTACGGTGCGTGCTTTCTCCACGTGGGAAATGCTCAAGTAAAACTTTAAACATGCGGAGGGGGCAACCCTGCCTTTCTACTTTTTTGAGCTGGAATCAGAAATGGTTTTTTGGACCGCCCGCGGACGATTTGATTGTGTTTCTATATACAACATCATCACCTCTACCCAGAACTCCTTATATCTTGATTTTCTGTCTGTATAGCTGATCCGGCCGGAATCAGGAAACACAAAACCAAAATCAACAAAACATAGCTCATGGTGTGATGAAAGGGTATTTATGTATGTTTTTTATATGCAGAACGTATGGAAATCCCATCTAGAAAATCAAAACACCAAAACTTTTTGTAGTCATGATCATCGTCGTTTATTTAAGTCGTGCAGTGGTGAGATGTTTAAGTTACTCTGGGCGAGCATGTGGGTGGCGAGGGCGGTTGGCAGCCTTCTCCTGGACAGGCTTGAACATCTTCTTGGGGCCGGCAGAGCCGCCACCAGCACAGAGCACAACATTGAGGTCAGTCTCCTGAGGACAGCCGTGAGTAGCGTGGTCATCATTGGGCTGGTTGTAAGCCTCCTTGCACTCTTTGACTCCTCCCTCGCAGACGACTGCGGGACAGCTGGAGTCGGATGGGTGGATGCTGACGCCACCATCCGAGAATGGGTAGCCATCGATGTTGGATAGATCGTAGAAGACTTGAGGCTCCGAGAGAGTGTACTCAAACTGCGAAATATCCTTGTGGTCCGGGTTGGTGGCCATCTTGATGGAGATGCCACCCCCATTGCTGTTAGGGCGGTATTGCTCGGAGTGAGTTTCGCCGTCCTTGAGGGTGATCATCTTCTCTCCAGCAGAGTCAGCGATGGACCAGAGGTAGACATCTTTCCCGCAGGCGTTCTGGACGTTGGCAGTGCCAAGGTTTCCACCAGCAAGAGCAGCCGGGACGAGAGCTGCGAGGGCAGAAAGGGCGATGACAGCAGTGTTGGAATGCATTTTGATTTTCAAAAATGGGGTTTGGTCAAAAAATGAAAAATGAAATATAGTGAGTGTCTATAAGAGCTCTTAATGATTGTAAAAAGGGCGTAAAGAATGACCCTTTAAAAATGTATATATCAGTTGAGATCAGAAAGAATGTGATGGAGAAAAAAAAGAGAAACAGGACCTGGGGATGGGGGTTCAAGGGGTATTTATAGAGATGTCCCCCACATACAAATGGTTCGACATGGAGAAGTGTTCTTGGAGTATGGTCTAGAAACCATTCGAATTCCAGAATTGTCCACCAATATAATCGAGTACCCAGACTTGGGATTGCTTTACGAGATGTTCTTGCCACGGGCGTGATCTGTTCCAAGTAACTTATATTGGTGGGGAAAGTTCAGGAACAAGGGGTGCGGCCTTTGATATTGGTGGGATTTAAATTATAAAGATAAAAACTGAGCCAAAAGGAAGCCAAGGCCGGGAGTATTTCAATGAGTTTTCGACACTACCATGGTTCTAGATCGTGGTGGAGTATGACGCTTCTGGTGGTGGCGGGAGAAAGAGATATTTGGAACCACAGACCACTCTTCGGATCTCTTCCTGAAATGGGGGGACGGAACTCCCCCTTGCTATGACTACAGCATATGAGAAGCATTAAGTTGGGCATAGGTAATACCATGTTTTCCATGCCTCGGGAGGGGTTGTTGGTAGATGCCTGGAACCTAGAATTATCCGTAAACGTGGGTCACTTGAATGGACGAGGTGTGTGTGGATTCAGCAATACAAAGGCATTCTTTAACACTTGTTTTCCGGATCTAGGTACCAAATAAGGGGTAATGACGGCTTTATTTCAGATTATCTGCTGTGCCATGGTAAGTAAAACGCTTTTTTCCCTTTGACTATCGAAGAGCGCAGATTGTGGTTTTTGTATACGGCTTTGTTACCTTCGTTGCCATATTCAACGGTGTATAAAGAAAACAATCAAGAGGGTGCTGCCCCAGAAGCCGCATCTCGCGGCTGTCGGTGCGTGGCGGGTATGATGGCCCCCCTCTATGGGAAGGCCCTTGTGAGCCCACAATATCGTCTCTTTTGACTGAATGTCTAGACCTCCATAACTATATTCAAGGCATCCCTTGTTTCATGCCGGCCGTCTCGTATTGCCGTGGGTGGTGGGGTTTCAACTCGGTTATGCGGCATAGATTTTCTGAGATGCAAAGGCAATCCAGAAGAGTGACATACGTATGCCCCTTATCCACCTGCTTTTTCTTTCCTTGTCTGCCGAAAGCTTCCAGCTTTTCATCGAGGTCTTTGATGCATCAAACTTTTTCCGCGATGTGTCAGGATTTCCACGAGGTACGTACATTATTACATAAGCAATCGACCTAGGTCGGAGTTCTGCCGCGGCTGAAGGAAAATACGATCCCGACGCTGCTTGCCAGAACGGGGTTAGAACGACGTGCAGTGGGAATGGCATCTTACGAGGTTAAAATACACTGGGTGACAGTTAAGCAGATGAAGCTTGGGGGAAGCAATGTGAGTCACGCAATTCGTCGTATGTATAGCTAAGTAGGCACAGTAAATGGACAATTTTCTCTGGACGATACCCGGATATATGGCAAGACAGCTACCAGTAGGGCGGCCGCAGTCCGGCCAATCCAGACAGAGTGCTTTCTACCCCAGCACCGACAGCGCCTGCAACAGAGCCATCCTCTTTCTTACGATGGCCACCGAGTTCGATGTTGATCTGTCGGTGCAGATGAACGAGCCAATCAACATAACTCTGTGCCTCATTGTTTCTGTCCTCCAATAGCATTCGCGCAAATTCATATTCAGACCCATCAATACCTTGTCTGGCCAGTTGAATAGTCATGGCCTTTGAGCCACGGACTGTACTTAGGTATTGCAGGATATTGCGTACCTGAGCGTTGAGTTGTGTTTCTAGAACTGGGATAGTGGACGTATTTGGATCAAGAGATTTAAGGGAGTTGTAGCCTGGGCCGAAGAGGTCTTCGAGAAGGTTAGGGGACACGAGTGCGTGAATCCAGAGGATACATATTTGTCCATTTTCCACAATGTAGACCCCTCCGTCTTCGATTTTTGAGAACGATGCTCGCTGGCTTGGCGGCACTTGTAACTGCCCATGCTCGTTAGAGAACCCATCCTTGGGATCTAAGTTGTGGATTGGAATAATCCGTGGGTATAGGTAGAGAGAAAGCTCTCGGCATCCAAAGGAGCGAAGCATTCGGACATCATGGATACGACGGTCCGAGGGCTCATGGCCTCCTGTTAAGATACGAGTATATTTGTTAGCCTGGTATACATTTGGTCTAGGGTGGCTTCGCTTACCTTTAAAGGCACGAGACTTTAGCAAGCTCAGCATATACATTGAAAACTCCTGAATATATTCAGGCAACACCAGTTGGCCAGGAGGATGTGACAATGAAAAGTTTTTGCGGTAGCTTGCTAGAATGTCAATACTCTTCTCTGTTAAACTAGCCCGGATTTCTGATAGGGCCTTTTCGGGAACCTTGGAGGCAGCTAATCGTAGCACGTTAGCAACAACAACATTCACCAAGGGAAAAGTGAAGATTTGGCTACCTTCTTTCGCAAGAATGGAAACAATGGCATCCTGATCAAGAGATTTCATGGTCTCCATTCCACCATCATTGACGCCAGCTACGATGTTTATACACCTAACACGTCGCTGTCCATTGCCAGCAGTATAGAGAAGGGCTGCCTGGAAATGGGCATCCAGTTTAGGATCAAGTTTACCATCATAAGTGAACATGATGCCGAACGCTTTATCTGCATCAATACTTCCCATTTCAAGGTCTGAGGCAAATGTATGCTGAAGGAAGTTTCCATGGTACGACGAGATTTGGAGGCCATTTGAGCAACGGACTTTCAGAAGAGCCTGATAACCAGTTTCTCGGGTAATGGAATGACATATTTCCTTGGAGAGTTTCTGGATATCGCGAGGAGCATGGAAATTAGGGTAGAAAAACATTTCTCCTCCAGCAACAGCGGATACGTGTCCTACTACAATGAGCTTCCTTATTCAAAACAAAAATGGTGGTGTGATGTCAACTTACCTATCGTTGCGATGTCCATGTAAGTCCCACCACCTGCTGCTACGAAGAAATCTACACCAACTCCAGTCTCCGCTGCCTTTGTAGCTGTTTTCTTCCACTCAACATGCTCAGTAGTAAATAGCTTCCTTTCCGCATCGGTTCCGGGACCCATCCCTTGATCTCTCATAAAGAGACGCCCAGGACCCCAGGTGGGAAGGGAGCTCAACGAACAAACAATCTTTCCTCCGGTCGACTCCAAGGCGCATAAAGCGGAGTTTAACGTGGGGAGGAGGGCTGGCTCTGGGTATTTGATGAACGAAAATAGAGTGGGTATTTGCGTCAAGAGCGAGGATATGACATGCCTGAGATGCAGTTAGTTTTTGATATAATTGCTGGAGCGAATAGAATAAACGAACTTTGACTCGTATGGATCAGCAAATAATCCCTCGCTTAAAGGAACGAACGGGTCCTGCAAATCCGGCATAACAATCATTTGTGCCTGTTCTAAATGCGGCTATAGTTATCAGAATTAGCTTCGAAATTTTGTTGTCGGACAGCGCTAAGGACCCGAGATCACATACACTCAGATTGTAAAAGTGGACCTCCTTATCAAAAGTTATGATTCCGATCTTAGATCCTTCTGGTAGATTCCTACGGGGTTTGGATTCACCATCTTCTGTATTTTCAGGTTCTTCTCCATCGCTATCTGCTCCATACAAAGCAGATAACAAGCCATCACAACATGCTTCTAAAAATCCCCGTGATACAGCCTCCTGTGAAACATCCAGAAGGAACAGCCAACGCAAGCCCACAGGTTCTTTATTCCAGTATTCCTTGGGGACCAAAAATTCAACAGTTCCCTGCATCAATTCTGGGCGATGTATCCGATCCACACGTACACCTGAAGGGTCAAGTGGTGCATAGTACTCAGGAGCAACTTCGTTGGGAAATGTACACATGTTGCAAATGAGCTTATTTCCACCAGATCGAAAAGTCATAAACGGATTAATGTAAGCTCTGCATCTTCGACACCGAGGGGGCCCAGAATCTCCGAAGTCCAAAACAGGGATTGGTTGTTCTGCCTCATCGAGCGGAGCAAGGGGTTGAAGTATTAGGCCTAACGGGAGCGAGGTTGAAGCAAGCGCCTCCGCGGTAGAAGGGATATTATTGATGGTCAGTCGAGCAAACTTTGGCGACGAGTTGCCTTGATCATGGGCAACGAATGGAACTGTGGATGGCGGCGGTACGTGCCGTTCCATAGTTGGGTAGGTGTGTTCGAGGTAATATTGAGCAGGGACATCGCGAGACCGTGGAACGCTGGGTATCTGTTCCGGGTCAACCCTGCCCTGAGTTGGTACAGAACCATCTCTGACAACGCTGGAGTTCCTTTGCTCCTGCACCTGAGGAGAGCCGAATCCACCGTGTGGAGGCGCTACCTGAGGGTTTTGTTGGTTGAGAAATTGTGATGGTTGCTGGGTAGAGCCGGGAGGCATGCCGTTAAACGGTTGGGATGATCCTGCCGGGGTTCCAAACTCATGATACGCATGTCTATCTTTCTTCTTATGCGCCCTGGTGGTTCCACCAGCGGAACTTGGTGGCCCTCCTCCAGCAATTCCTAGTCCACCCATCTGAGCAGTTAAATTGTGCATTCCTGATTGCATATCAGCTGGAGACTGAACATTTCCCTGGGGTGATGGGTAGCCTCCCGAAGATGGAAGATATGGGGAGGATTGCGTAAAACCGTGAGGGTGCTGGTATGTCTGCTGAGGAGCACCTCCGCTCTGCATGTATCCCGATGGCGGCTGTGCGACCGGAGGAACAAACTGAGGAGCTGCAGGTTCAGTCCGTATTTGCGATTTCATTCTTTCATCGTCAGGCACAGCGCCGTCACCTAGGTTATGATACATCGAGAAGTCGGCCATTTTGGTAGCTCCCTCCACGCGTAATGAGGGGAATCGGCAGGGCAGTCTGGGATGGGCAGGCGTAACGATATATCTGCTGCGGCGTTTCCGCGGTCAAATTTGCACTATATCATAACAATTCATATCTCAATTGATTCGTAACAAGGACAGCAACTCCCCTTTATCGTAGTATGGAAACTCCGTCGTCAAAACTGACCAGATTGTTCAATCTTAGGTCCATCAGGACAGATTCTCGGTGACGGAGTTTCTTTTTTGCCAGATATGGCCTTAAGCACGTGATTGCTAACTCTGTACCTGTGGGGCCCCTTGACTTTCGACTTCTTCGGCGACGTTCCTTCTGATATATTTGCCTTGCTATCGCTTCTTACCGTCAGCCCTTAGTTTCGGCGAGGGTTTATCTCTAATAATGGGGAGTGCATTGAATACCCCGCTGCAATAATATTTAAAATGATTTATCAGTCTGACTATTAAATATCCTTTTGCCTGCGAGGAGGCAAATCTCTTCCAAAGCTAAAAGAATAGGAGAAAGATAGATTATATATACGTGATTGTCAACGGGCCTATATGCCGTTGATTTGCCGAATAGATATGATAGAGATATCTAGCAAGACTCGTGGATTACCTCCTGTTAGGCACCAAAGCTACCATACGGTCCGGTATCGAAATCTTCCGAAGGAACTTCTTCAAGGAGTTCCTTGGTACGTGGGCCGGTGTACCGTCTAGTTATTGATTGTTAGCCCGATACCTTATCAATTCTCGAGAGGGAATGTGAGAGTACTACTTTCTGGCCGATAGCCACCACCACGAAAGCGCGAAGAGTGCAATAAAAGTCACTACAACGCTAGCATAATTCCTAGACTCCATGTCAGCTTCTATACCGGTACCAGAGGGTAAGCGTGGGGTTTCATACATATTCTGTGGCGTTACGGGTTGAATTGGAGGGAAAAATAGGACGATGCTGATAAAGAGCACCCAACTAATGGAAATCCAGTTTATGGTAGCTCCCCAACTGCCTAGGGTAAAGGGACCTTCGATAAATTTCACCTTATTCTTGTACAGACGGTGGGCTAAAATGACGTCGATGTAGGAGAGATCCAGACATGGGGCAGTGATGCTGAAAATCGATGATGCGGTTTCAGTAGAGCCTATGGCAATACAGTTGAGGCAGACGGAAAAGAAAACGACGAACCACACCGCATTTACTGGGGTGAGGGTATATGGGTTTACTGTTGCCAAAACTCTGTTTAATGTTGTTTGTTAGTGATCCCATCTCATTATAGTCAATGGCGCATTTCCTTACTTTGAAAAAGGCAAAGCGTCGTCACGAGCAAAAGCGTATGCCATTCGGGTATCTGCTAACATAGCAGAGCAACCCGTGAAAAACTGTACCAAGATAGCAAATGCCCACATAATTGTTCCGCCTGTCTTACCTCCAGCGTCTAGGAAGATCTGGGCGGCCGGGAGCCCAGTTGGTGACTTGAGAACAGCCTCAAGGTCAGTAATGCAGAAGCACATGGTAACAGTCAACATCCAGCCAAAGGCTCCAGATACCACCACCGCAGTTTGGATTGCAACTGGACCTCTGACAGCAGCGTCATGGGTTTCCTCGGACATGCTGTTCAAAATACTGTTAGAAAACGCCTACTCAGCGAGTTTGCAGCATTTTCCAAGTAAACAGGCATCTTACTGAGTGGTTCCATCATAGTCTGTCATCGTCCAAGCAACGGCGATGAAACCAAGAAGAAAAGAGAAAGCCTTTGAGTGCCATCCTGATCCATCGGTAACATTGGTGAATACCCAGTGGGCTGACTGTTTGTTTGGGGTAAGAACAAGGAGAGCAATACATATCCCAATTGATGCGAGGACTACACACGTCAGTTCTATACTTAAAATTTAAAAACGCGGAGAGTGGTATATTGCATCACATACTATTAATTGGCGCAAACCAAAGAATGATTCGATGCAAACTCTTTGTTGTTAAAGAGCAGATGATACCCATTATGCAAAGAAGGGCAATTGAAAGCAGAACAGTCTGAAGAGCAGTCCTATTGTACACTCCGTCAATTATTCTGTTTCTAATATAACGGAGCTGATGTATAGATACCCTCAGCACATAAAACAACTTACGGTTTAAAAGAATAATTTCCTTTATCATCCAGATTCGAGTTCATACTCGCAGCAGCTAGTAACATCTGGCTTACTGTGTATGCAACACTCGAAACACCAGCAGTCTGGCCTAGCAAGTTGCACCAACCTTGAATCCATGCAAATATTGGGACTTGGTCTTTCGGAACTACATGTTTAGTCACAAAATACATCCCGCCTGCTGTAGGATAAGCAGAAACCAGCTCTGCAACCGACGAGCCAATGCACATTGCCATTACTGATCCGATTAACCAGCACCATACGGCCGTTGCAGGTCCTCCTGCACTGAGTGGTTGACCAAAGGTCGCTGGCACAGACCCTAACACCCCCAATATCGAAATGGCATATGATATTGTTGACCATTTCGAGAACTCACGTCTCATTTCCTGGAAAAAAACATGTTAGACCGGAAAGTCACATTTGAGTTTCTTGACAGGTCTGCCCTGCACTCTCTCCGCTGTTGTTTCATTGACATGTCGAAAGAAAAGTCGCTCCGTACTTGTTTATACCCGATCCTGGCCAACAGCCGCTCGTCGTCATCCTGAATCGTTGCCATCGAGGAAGAATTGACAGTTCTGATCCCCTTATCAGCTGTTTTTTTGTCACCAGATCCTTCACGATCTTGCTTGGGCGGTGTCTGAAAAGCAGTTGTTAGGTTCGAGTCCATCATGACAATAATTTATTGTTTCTTTGGGCCTGTGGATTATAAGCGCATTGCGCCGATTATATCGTCTAGTTTCTGCAGAGGTTTGTATATTCTGGCAGGAACGAAACGAGGATGAATAAGTGTAGAAAATCTTCGTGAATAAGTCCTTGTGACGATATGTTTCCCCCTTATGTGGAATACTTGTACAGATGTGAAGTGATAAACGATGTGAAAGAATGCGGAATCAATGATAAGGGAAATCTCCCCGCTTTCCCCGGGAGAATGAGAAGACGAGGAAGTGACAATCCCGGGTACAGGCTTGATTCAAATAGAATCCAACGTACCTCTGGGTGGATCAGTGACCTGCGGTCTCTTCGGGCCTTGATCCCTGCTTGTTCCCGCTCCCTCTTTAACGGTGGCACACCCGGGAAAAGGGCTGATAAAGCTTAGAACTTACTCCAGGGAACCAGGGAAAGACAAAAACTGCTCCAGGCAGTCAACCGGGCCGTCGGAGATAAGTCTCGCTCGTTAGTATCTTCCAGAAACAAGGCTGATAATATTAAACCTTCTACCGGAGCAAGCAAAGTTCGAATGAATAAAGGTATACTTCAGCGCAGCACAGGTAACATTACCCTGGGCGTTGGACAAGTTGTTTTGCCTTCTGCGAACAGTTAGAAGATTTGACAGGAAGGCCCTGTCTATTTTGGCAATCAATTGTTATACAGCAGATGTATTGAGCAAACGTGTGACCGAATGGTTGAGCGATACCTCAAGAACACAGAACTGGTTATACCAACTCCCCAGGGAAATGTAGAACACTCACTCTGTTAGAGAAGCCGTCCAGAGAATTTGTATATGCTGTTCACAAAGCCATGACCCCTTGCAACTTGGCCCATTCAACTTTGCAGGGTGCAGCAAGTTAAAAAAAAAAAAAAAAAAAAAGATCAACCGAATTACCGGATATTCCCTTGTCATTTGTCGGCGTCCCTCTGCCGTTTTTTCCTTAGAGAAAATGGCCACGGGGTATATGTTGGCCAGATGTGTTGTTGACGGAGAAGAGACAAAGCTTGAGCTAGCATGCGCCCAGCGACGCCATGGGGCTCCATCCTGTCCATGGGCGCCGGGGAAGGGAAGCCAGACAGCCAACTGTCCATCTGCGTAAAAAGTTGTATTTGCGTTTAGTTTGGAACGGGCGAGATAGATGTGCCATCTCCAACACGTGGGCCAGGGGTGCAATTTTAGGTCGTCAACGTTGTTTTCGTGGCTTGATATAAAAGCCGGAACTATCCTTGCTAGTCGACCACTTAGTACATCCGCGCGGAGGGCCAGCCAAGATACATAAGTAACGATGTCATAGAAACTCGAAACAACCTTACGTTGTACAGCGAGTTGATACTGTCTTGAGGTCAGACTTTTGATCCTAACTTCCCTATTACTGCCATTATTATTATCTGTTCCTCAGGGTTATTTAACCAGGTACACATAAAGCCAATCATACGCTACCCTAAGGATCATTTAGATAAGAGAACAGATAACTATATTAGCACCCAAGCATATCTCCACATGCACTGTATCGCACAGCAGGATCCCTGTGAGTGCAACTCTTTTGCCTTGGCTTCTGGGAAAGCTGCTATCTTGCTGCTCTACATGAGGGCGTCTTATACTCACGACGAGGCAGCGCTTGCAGACGGCCTCTTTGATGACTTGTTGGTGGGAAGAAAGATAGAAAATAAACTTTTAAAGTTTAACACACCCGATTGGAGGAACCGAGTCTTTTACCATTTTGTTGAATAATAGGGGAACTTATCTACTTGGATGATGAGTTTAGATCAATCCTCGAGAGAGTTGGGAGTTTATTGAAACGCCCCCGGCCAGCAAACCCAGCTAATTATGGTATCCACCAAAGAGCAGTTGATATGGTGGGCTGCAAACACAAGCCGTGGCAATGGTAGAATTTGGGGAAGGAGTCCTGGGTAACTCACTCACAGCAAAAACAATGTTTGAATTTGCCGCCTCTATGGGACTCTGGAGGCTGAGTAGTAGACTCGAGTTGCACTACACTGTCGAGAGACTATCCTGTGGTTTTCTTTGAGTGTCAAGATTTAGGAGAAATTCAATGATTGCTATACAGAAGTGAAATCCCTAACCTGCTACCAAGTATACAAGCGAACAAATGAAAATAGACCGATTGTCAGTGTGCTGATACCCAAAACAAAAATCGACAAGTTAAACCAAAAGATGTCAAGCGATGGTACATGGACCGGAGCGCCACTGCTCGTTACATAGGCTGGATTCAATTTCAAAACTGCACATGACGCTGCTCATAAGCCTTTCTCTCTTCCTCGATCATCTCAATCGCCTCTGCCAGGTCTCCGTTAGCAGCCTCGGCGAATATACGCAGCCTATTAACATCTTGAGATCTATCGTCGCCGAAACCAAGGGCCCTCAGCTGTGATAGACAGAGTTCTGTTGGGTCGTTTGGTGATGCTTCCATTACAGCTGCCGTCGGAGTTTCACGGGGAAATGTTCCAGGAAGGTCCGAAGGGTTTTCACAGGCAGCGCTAATCTCTGCTAATTCATGGCTGCTAAGCCGTCTTTCTGGGTAAGGGTTATTTTCAAAAAGGCTTGGACGCGGTCTCCGCACACGTTCCGTTGCACTTCGACGCAGCCCAGATACGTTTGATGCGGAAAATGGGGATGCGCGGCGGTGGAGTGGATTTAATGGGCTAGAAAGATCCGATAGTACTGGGGGATTAATGTGGTTTGGGTCACGATAGATGCCGTGTTCAGTTCTACTTTCATTAGCATTAGACATTGAAGGTATACTGCTCTGGCTATCCTGATCCCATGGCCATGATCCTGGTATTCGACTAGGAACTGGGGGAGCTAATGGTTTTCCAGTGCTAGCACGATTAATGTTATTTTCATATATCGTGCGAGGCCTGAGGGCTGGCCAATCTGGGGATGGCCAAGGACCGTGCATGAAAAGATGCTGCTGTTCGAGCTGTTGCATTGAAGGGTACCGACTCAGTGCGCAGTCATTGTCGTTAGGTTCAGAATGAAGACTGGTCTCATGACATGAATCGGGTGGTGGTGGCCTTGTGCCGGGGTTTTCGGTACTTTGAGATTCAAAGAGTGGCGGATATCGTTCGGCAAGGTTTGTCTCGGATTTATTAAGTAACGCAGTGTTCGGTTGTGTTTGAGTATTGCTGTGCATCTCAGGAATTGGGATAGCGGCTTGTTCACATAGGGATGGGCGTTTGGCAAATTTTGCTCTGAAGGTACGATATTGCTAGTATCATTATCTAGCTCACTCACTGGAACGAACGATGGATAACTGGGCCTTCCGGCATTTTTTGTCAAGTGTGGAAGTTCAGGGGTAGTGTGTTGGATACGAGTGCCAGACGACTCGGTCGCGTTGCTTGGCCCTGAGAATGAATGCTCATTTGCGGATTCAACGTTAATGGTACAGTCACCAATGAGGTTTCCTCTAAGCGCTTGCAGCGCTGCAGCTGCAGCGTAGGTAGAAGGGAAATGAACATAACAGAAGCCGGCATGATCGCCTGTTAGACTATCTCTGGGAAGCGTCACAGTCCCGACGAACCCCTGGCTTGCAAGCACTGAAATGACTGTATTCTTCGTGGCGTCTGGTGGCAGATTACCGATAAAGATGTCTTGTGTTGCAGGGTTAACTGCTTCGGGAGCTGATGATGCGTCCGCTGTGCCTTTGTTAGCACAGTTATCGTGCGGCTTGAGACTTTTCTCAAACCCTGCAATAAGTGAACCGCCGATATCTCGTATGTCGGATACAAGAGTCCGCAAATTACTCAGATAAGCAGTAACCGCTTTCTCTGTTTCTCTGGTTGCAATGGAGGAAGATCTTGCCGATGTAGCAGCCTGCTGCATAACTCCCGCTAATGTTTGAATATGACCCCCCATGACCTGGAGGGTTTCGTGGATGGTTGCTTGCATCTGATCGGGGATATGATGATGCAAGTCTGTAACTCTCTGCTCAACCTCAGGCAATCTGTCTGCTAACTCGGCTTTGAGGATGGTTACTCGAGATAGGAGGGATTGGAAAGACTTTCCAAAGACTGTAACAATATGAGATATCGCCTCCGAGGCCTCTGTAGCCTGGCCTGAAGTCGGCTGAGCATTATTATTCTCCGAATGCCCTGTTACCGGCTCTTTCCCGTCTGTAGAGGTTGAGTTGGAACTAGATTCCCTAGTTGTTGCTGTTGCTGGCTCACCTACAGGCTTAAGATGTAGCTCTGATCCTGAGTTTTGTGCCATGAGCCGGGATAGCTCAGCTTCAAACTCTGATAAAAATGGTTTGGGGGATACTTCAATAGGGGATTCTGGGCTATCAGGCTCCCTTTCTCTTGTGCTAGTGGAAGGTCCAGAAAATTGATGAGTCGGCTTGTAGGTGCTCCAGAAATCTCCGGAAGTACCAGTCGTATGGCCTTCTTCTAGTTCCGGACGATACGAGCCACGCCAGTATGCCTTGTAAATTTCACGCATACGCTTCCCGGCAGCATACGCCTTGAGAGGGTTAGCTTTTTTACGTCTAATGGATATCTGGAATAGGCAACATACCTGCTTCTTTCCCTCTTCAGTGATAAACTTACCTTCCGCCGAGGCACCTTCACCAAATGATTCAAACTCTGTATCATGGTTTGGACCATTCCATATATTGGATGACGTATCCTTCATAGGAGGATACTGTTTAATACTTTCCATATTCGTTACACCTGAACAGCCTTCATGCTGTCCTGAAGGGGCGCTCTCCTCCTGGGGATCTGCTTTAACAACGCGTGGTTTGTTTATAGCGGGTGGGGGATCTGGGGGCGCAGTCTTCAGACGGGAACTCGCATTTGAGCGATAACCAGTGCTTAGGGGTATTATTTGACAGGACGGTTGCCCCGAGATACTGTTGGTCACAGTTCTCAAACGAAAGTTTCGCCAAACGTCTACCACTGGCAGAGTCTGTTGGATCTCAAATGTATGCATAACAGGATCATTCTCAGCGTTGAGTGTGCTTAAAGGCAGACGATAGCTATTTGGTAGAAGTTCACCAATAAGCTGTGAAAGTTCTAATGATGAACCGACCTAGTAAATAGCATCACCAAGAGTCAGTACAAAAAAGCGCAGAAGTTGGAGAAACGCTGAATATCAAGAGACGACTTACAATCACTGTTTCACCATCGTCCTCATCCTGATACTGAAGCCTGGCTTCCGGAAGTTCCTCTATGGTTCGGTCATACTCGTTTGCGGTGACCTGAACTACTCCATCGCCTTGGACTTCAAACTCCGCCCTGTGCTGCTTATCCAGACTTGAGATCGAAGCACTATCAGACTCGAGGCCATCATCATTTCTAGAACGACGTCGCCGGTGTAAGGGGTGCCCAACAATGCCCTTTATACGAAATGGCGGCAGCATTTTGAATTTCAAAGATATGTCCGGAGGGTGGTTTGCCAAAGGAATAGTAGTGACGTCCTGGAGACGGGAACGTTAACAAAATAAATGCGACGGATATACTGCAGCCTGGAAGAAAATACTAGCGCATATACCCCAACTCAAATCGACGATACGCAGGGGTTATAGGAACGGGCTGTCTGGTCCAGCCAACGAGGAGAATCTGACTGCCTGTTCTGTATGCGCGGTCTGGGGCGAATTCACGCCACCACTCTGCCGGAGTATCTCGCCCTGCAGGCTTCACCGGAGACTTACGTAGCTATACGCAACGCACGGCAACGAAGGCAGCGTTCGACGCCTGTACCATGTGCAAAATAACCGATGGAGATGTTGAATACCCGCCGTTTGCCAGGCAGCAGCAATGTCGTTTCTCCCCCCATACAAAAAGCGACTCCGGCGATGTTCAAGTTTCTTTTCTTTTTTTTTTACTTTTGGGCGGAGCAAAAGTCTAAACTCGGCGGTTCGTCATAAGTATAAATACATTCTTAGTCATTTATTAGTCATTTACTTCGGACATACTTATTCCCGAAGACCGAGTAGCTCTCACGTGACTCAAAGATGCGGGCAGGGAGGAAGGTTCGGGTGCCTGATTGGGAAGAAGGTGAGGACGGACAAACAGTCAAGACGTACAACAAGCCAACAAAGCCGAGACGGAGGCTGAGACTGCGCCTCGACTCCTTGAGAGAAAGAAAGCTTCTCTTGCCCGTTCGTCGCTCGCCAAGTTCTATCTGATGCGCACCTAGGTGACCGCGAATAATACGCACCCCAGGGTGGTTGCGATGCCAAACAGCAAACCGTCACAAGCCTTGAAAAACCATGTCAATCAGAATGTGAAGCAGGTGGTCCTGGGAAACCTTCAGTTTAAGGCGTGGTTTGATTCGCGTTACCCTGAAGAGCTAGTGAGACCTGGCGATGGAACGCTGTACGTCTGTCGGTGGTGTTTCCGATATACATGCGACAAGCAAGCCTACCTAAGCCACACGTCCACATGCGCAAGCAAGGATTCACCACTCGGCACCCAAGTCTACAAACATGGCGGATATTCAGTGTGGGAGGTCGACGGCGAGGATCAAAAGCTCTTTGCTCAGAATTTGTCTCTCTTTGCAAAGCTGTTTCTGGACCACAAGTCCGTCTTCTTCGACGTGTCCTCGTTTTTATACTATCTTCTCGTCTATACGAATCCTGCAGATCCGGATGACTACCATGTACTGGGGTTTTTCTCAAAGGAAAAGATGTCATGGGATGCTAATAATTTAGCATGTATTCTCATCTTCCCACCATACCAACACAAGCAACTGGGCAAGCTCTTGATGGGTATTAGTTACAAACTGAGTGCGTGGGAATGGAATGATGGAGTTATCGGTGGACCTGAGAAACCTCTTAGTGAGATGGGCCATAAGAGCTATGTGAGATTTTGGGAGGAGAGGATGGCTAGATTCCTCCTTCATGTAAGCACTAGCGGAGTGAAGGACGAGCAACCCAAGGCCAGTAACGCGAAACCACCACCTACAAAGAAATATAGGAAGAAGCCGCCTCGAGAGCGGATGTCAATTCAGGATATCGGGCAGGCAACTGGTATGCTAGCCGAGGATGTCCTCACGGCCTTGAATTCAATGGGAGTTGTTCAAGCAGAGAAACCCGTGAAACGGAAACGAGCCTCACAGCCAGAAGGTGATGATGGCCTCCCAACTGCGGTCATAAGAAGGTCCAATGTCCTGGAATGGTCCAAGTCGCACAAGGTGAACTTACGGGATCCCGTCCATGAAGAAGGATTCGTAGGGGAATGGGCCACTAGCAGTGACAAGGAATCGGGTTGAGAATGGCAAAAGCGACCATCTCAGTGACCTTTCTAAAGGACTAGGAAAGCGAGTTCATCATACATACTCTTTCCCTTAATTTGGGGCTATACTCATGCATGAATAGAGTATGTGCCCTACCACACGTGCAATATACATCATACCTCCTACTAATATGATACCACTAGTGGATAGTAGCTGCAAATGCGGCTTACAATAAGCTTAGGTTGAATATCCCAAGTTTTTAAGTACCTCAGGTTGCACGCTTATGCACTCTAGCCCATGTTTTTAGCTGTGCAGTTGGTCGCTCCGACTACGAAGCAAAACTAACTCGATACTTATTGGCCTTACCATCACTTTTACCAATACGTGACGTCCAATGCCTCAGCACATCTACTGAATACTCTTGGTCGGTAGCGGTCTGTTTACTCAGTACAACGAAGCCTTTTTGTCAATTTAAACATGGACCTTTCAACTGGCAACTGATAATGTGAAGAGGAAGTAAAGGATTAAATGGGCATATATATGGACGAGCACGTGTAATAAATGTAGCTGATATTCTAGCTTAATATCAATATCTAGCCTGCTGGGGTGAAAGCGATTGAACTCTTATTTATGGCTGTAGCTCTGCTAGCAACGTAGCTATGGCTTTGGCTTTGACCTGTGGATGGTCTACGGATCTCTTCTTGCTTAGGGATAATGCGATGGTTTACTCATTTAATACGCCTTCTGTGCAGTTGGGATACTACGCGGTGGAATATGGATAAGCGAAAAACCGTGCGCAAAGTAATCTATTTTTGGCATTATCCCAGAGGACCCGATGGATATCTAAGCACAACAGGCCCCGACGATTAACTTAACCTTGAGAAAATCGCCTTTTTACTCTTCCATTCCCTGTGGACCTCCCTGTTTACCCATTTGTCTCGCCTTGAGTAACTCATCACACAGAAGCAAATTGGAGGCAATGCCGGCACTGGAAGCAATGCAATTCCTCAATACCCTAAATGAATCAAAGACACCCTCCTGGACGGGATCCATGGGGTTTCCAGTAACAAGGTCTAGACCGGCAATGTTTCCTTCCGAATGTTCGTCTTGGAGGACAGCGATTGATTCTTGGATGTCATGACCGGAGTTAGCGGCCAAGGTCTTGGGAATGATGAGTAGTGACTCCAAAAAAGCGTCAACACCAAACTTGGATTTGCCCTTCACTGTCTTGCGGAACTCCGCTGACTTCAAGTGTTCAGCGCAAGCGATCTGGAAGGATCCTGCTCCTGGAACAACGGCCCCGTCCACAATGGTATTGTAGACTGAACGTAGTCCATCACGAGTTGCTTCCGTAATCTGGGTAATGGTGTGTTGGTTTGGACCTTTGATAAGAAGAGTCACAGACTTGGGGTCCTTAACCTCCTCGATGAAGGTGTACTTCTCCTCACCAAGCTCATGCTCGTAAACAAGGCCAGCCCAGCCGAGGACATCAGGTGTGAGGTCGTCAACACTGTTTTGCGCAGTACCACCGCACACTAGTTGTAGTCGTTCCATGTTTCTCCTCTTTGCTCGGCGCAGAGCAAGAATGCCATTCTTCACCAGGACATCCAAACTCAGGGGGTCGATACCCTTCTGATTAATGACGACAAATGACTTTTTGGGGTCGTTTCCACAAACTTCCTTCTTCAAGTCCACTATTTTCTTTAGCTTAGCGTCAACAAATTTGCGCTCGCTCTCCACAAGCTTATCTCTCTGTTCGGCAGTCGAGTAGAAAAATCCGGAGTTAATTTCGGACTTTTCATATTCTAGACTGACGTTGAGAGTCAGAACAAAAGCGTTTTCTACTCGCTTGGGCATATCGGGATGACGCGCTCCGTGATCCAATGCAAGTCCTCGAACGAGCTTAGTATCGGAGGCAGTGCGGTGCTGCATCTTCATGATCTCAATCATATGCAAGTCTGGTTTCGCCGGGGCCTTGTATATCGCAAGGACGGCGTCAACAATGGCGGGTGTCAACTTTTCTGCAAGGGTACGGTTGAGTTTTGTGGCAAGAGATGTCCGTGCTACTGATAGCAGGAGCTCTCTATCGATATTTCGCTTAAGTTTGAAAGACTCAAGGAACTAGAAACATGTAGCGATTAGCTAAAGAGCCTATGAATGGAGGACCTCGCAACGTGTACGTACCTTTAGAGCTTCATCCTTAGCAATCTCATATCCGTCAGTAATGACTCTAGGATGTAGGCCTTCGGAAATATGTCGATTAGCTTGTTTGAGCAATTCTCCAACAAGCAAGACCACTGAAGTCGTTCCGTCGCCAGTGATATCATCCTGTGCAGTTGCTGCTCTTGCAATCATCACCTGAAATCCCGCATATCAGTACTTGTATAGTTCGTGAAGAAGAATTAGGTTATATTACCGCCGTGGGATTTTGAATTTGCTATATCAGATTCAGCATTAGCAGCTGTAGCGGTAAGCGAGGGTGAAAACGTCTTGACAAACCATTTCTCGCAGGAGGACATTCCCATCTTTTGTAAGCTTGATCTATATACCCATCGAGTGAGAATTCTGCGGCAGCATGTAAGTGAAATAAAAGGAGTTAACGGCATACCGATCCTGCTCCGTCGACAAGCCTAGATTCATTATCACCACGGGGTTAGTCAACAGTATATATCAATATTGTGCGTAGAAACCCCACATACATCTTAATGGTGCCAGAAGGGCCTAGATTGGATTTGAGGACATCTTGAAGACCTTCTCCGGCACTGATATTGACCTTTAACGCTTCTCCTCTCCGCTACATATTTTGTTATTTATCGTGTTCCCTGAGATGGTGGGATAGAGGGGGGTAGAAGTATTACCCTGGACTCCGCCTTTGGGTTCAGTAACTGTGTTGCAGACATGGCGACAAAGATAGAATTGCCGTATGTAAAAAGACCTTTCGGCTGATCCTGGACAAATCTCGACAACCCTCGCTGAAATGCTGGTAAAAACGCTTCGCCAGGTGTTTTCTTTTCGTTCCGTCAAAGAATCTCAAAAGTGCCAAAAGTAAAGTTCAAGCTCGAAGCTCTGCGCACATTTCCCTTTCCGCACTAGCGCGTCCACAGAGACAGCGAAGGAAAAAAAACTTCGACTTTTTATTGCTTCTTGCGATTTTTCCAGCTTCAGACACTCAATCCAACGAAGCTCGTCGAGCTGCCGCCAATTGACGGGAATCAATCTGCTTAAGGATACAGTCGCTCTCTCCCGATAGATATGGCGGATTTTCTCCTCTTCGAGGGCCCCGTGGGCTACTCGCTTTTTAAAGTCATTCACAAGCCCGACTCTGTCGGAAATAGACTGAAGGAGGTTCAGGCTGCTAACCAGGACCTTGCGAAATTTGGGAAAATGGTCGAGGTCGTCAGTTTCTTGCCTTTCGAGTACGTTTCTCTCTCCGTATTATCTGTTTCTTTCGCGTGCTCATATCCGGTAGGAATAATAAGCAAGCGCTCAGCGAAATCAACGACGTATCCGAAGGTGTCGCTTCCGAGACGTTAATCTCGTTCCTTGAACTCAATTTACCAAAAGCGAGCAAGAAAAAGAGTGTGGTGATGGGTGTCTCCGATAAAGGTTTGGCTGGTAGCATCAAGGTGGCGTTTCCATTCGTAGAGTGCGAAACTGGTGACACCAGCGAGGTTGTCCAGGATATGCTACGAGGAATTCGAATGCACTCGGGAAAGCTTCTTAAACAGCTCCGTGAGGGTGATATCAATACTGCACAGTTGGGTCTTGGTCATGCCTACTCTCGTGCAAAAGTCAAGTTCTCGGTCCAACGCGACGACAATCACATCATTCAGGCTATTGCTATTTTGGATCAATTGGACAAGGCCATTAACACTTTCTCCATGAGAGTGCGGGAGTGGTACTCATGGCACTTCCCAGAACTGGTTAAGATTGTATCTGATAACCACCGTTACGCTCGCTGCGCCCTCTTTATCAAGGACAAGAAAGACCTCTCCAAAGATAAGCTGCATGATTTAGCTGCCATTGTGGATGATGACAAGGGTATCGCTACTAGCATTATGGATGCCGCCAAACACAGTATGGGTCAGGATATCACAAGCACAGACATGGAGAACGTCATCGCTTTCGCTGAACGTGTTGTCAGCCTTGGAACTTATCGCAAGAACCTCCATGCATACTTGGTTAACAAGATGAGCGTTGTTGCTCCAAACTTGGCTGCCCTTATTGGAGAGGTTGTTGGTGCTCGCTTGATCTCTCACGCCGGCAGTTTGACTAATCTTTCTAAATACCCTGCCTCAACTGTACAAATTCTTGGTGCTGAAAAAGCCCTTTTCAGAGCTCTTAAAACCAAGGGCAATACCCCTAAGTACGGTCTTCTATACCATTCCTCTTTTATTGGCCGCGCCGGTACCAAGAACAAAGGTCGCATCTCACGGTTCCTCGCAAACAAGTGTTCTATTGCGTCAAGGATAGACAACTTTTCTGAGACACCATCCACAGCATTCGGAAATGCTCTTCGACAACAAGTAGAAGAAAGACTCGAATTTTACGCCTCTGGTGCTGCTCCTACCAAAAATGAAGTCGCAATGGTATGTAGAGACCGGCTTAATTATACCATTTTTGCACTACTGACTGCCTTATTCTTTAGAAAACTGCTATGGACTCTATCCTTGCTGATATCGAGGTTGACGGTGACGGTGATGAAGATGTTGAAATGGAAGATGTTGACAAGGCTGAGAAGAAAGAAAAGAAGGAAAAGAAGAAGGAAAAGAAGGAAAAGAAAGAGAAAAAGGAGAAGAAAGAGAAGAAAAAGGAGAAGAAGGATAAGGCAGCCGGTGCATCTGATGCCGAAACTGATGCTACACCTAAGAAGAAGCGGAAACACGACGCAGAAGCTGGATCCGAGAAGAAGAAGAAACAAAAGAAGTGAGCCTCTCTGGGTTGGAGTCTTTGAACGGCGTTTTAGGAAAGGATATTTCTAGTCCCCATTTCTGTCTGTTTATAGGCAGGATTGTCTGATTTTCATTTTTGTGTATACTTACGACATCATCACGTTCTTAAATCAATATCGGCGAGCATTCATCCTCTCGTCTATTTTCGTCGTTGCATTCTGCCTTGAAGCACTCGAGTGTGTCTTGCTTAGTAAGCTTCTCCATATGAAAGGGACTTCTTGAACTTAGACAGGCCTAACCATCACAATAATATCAAAATATCTTGCAGTCGAAATCATGGGAAAGCTCACATATTCCGGCACAAAGCTAGCCAAGCAACACTAGCTGGCACTGGTTAAGCTCATGTAAATTATCCGAATCCATGGGCATGACGCACATTTGGTGTCGTACCTCCTGAGTGGCTTTATGGAATGAGTCTGAAGCAACACTCTCAACAGCATTACATAGCTATACCCTGAGAAATGGAACAGAGAGTGCTATCCGTTCATAACAAATCTCTAAAGCGCAAACATGACGAATCTGATCTTAGCGAAGAATCAGTTTCCCCCCTATCGAATCCAGATCAACCTGCTGAAGAAGGCAAACCCGAGATCATTGACCAGGCTGATGTGAAGCCACCTGGAGCTTATCTTCATGGAAATGTTGCTAATAGATTTCGGGATCTTGATATACGATGTCGAACTGCCAATAACGACTTTCTTTTCTGCAGCCATTCCCCAGAACACGACATACAACCCCAAATATCAGAAATTCCTCCAGAGATTCCCACACATGAAAAAAATCCTAAAATAGAAGAAGTTGGTGACGATTCCAAGCTGCTATATTCAACTGTACAATCAACATCGTTTACCAACGAAGCCACTCCGGAGATAACAGACCCGGTGCGCCTAGAATCACCACCTCCTACATCAAATGGAAATGTTGATGCAGAGGCCAACGAAGAATCATTGACCTGGGATGAATCAGAAATCACGGGTCATCATGCCACAGATCCTAATGACGACGGATATGGTCTTAATGGAATCGGGTTCAAACCATCAGCTGAAGTGGCGTGGGCTAGGTCTCAGCATCGAAAGGACCAGGTAGCTGAATGGAAGAGACGTATGGCGAGTGAGGCACGCGAAGCTCGTAGCAGGCGACGACAGAAGGACGAGGACATTGGCAATGCAAGCTACATAGCAAAAGGCTCCCCTAAGCAGAAACGAGTCAAATTTGATACTTAATCATTTGTTCAAAAGATGTTTTACAGATTATCAAAATTAGAGAGGGGTTTTTGGAAAAGAGGCTATTGTACAGAGGTGAATAATGCTCATGCAGACGTCTACTCAAATGTTATACTGCCGCCAGTCGCATCCATCGTCCTGAAATGCCCGCAACCCAGACTCCGAGACTCCCAAGGGATATAAAAAATGTCATGGCCCAAATATCTACCAGAATTTACAATTGGATAGGTTCGTCCAGCTCTTCCGGCGTGTCTCTTCTGCTTTCTGAGCCTCTTCTTCCTCATGTAACTTCCTGGCAGCTTCTCTCTCCTTTTGCTTCTTGAGTTTAAGCTCCCTCATGAGCTCTGCTGCTTCTTTCATTCCTTCGCGCTCAATGGCTCTCTGCCTCTGGCAGTATTCATGTGCAGCCAGCGACACAATTGCAAAAGAGCCAACAGCCCAGTTACTAGCACTCCATAACGACTTGAGACCTAAGATAAAGTTAATTTCACTTGTGTCTTTCCGTCATCATCAACATATGCCAATCTGCCTTTATAATCCCGCTTTCGTACCTCCAAGTATAGCCCTCAAACCGCCAACACTGAACCCTGTGCCTATTCCCAACAGAAGAGAATCTCGCGCGCAAGGTGCTTTGTATACCGATGCAAACTTCTCGAGGGATAGCGATCTTAGCGAATCCATAACCGTGACTTCCTTTGGTTTACCGCCCGCAGAGTTATAGGTGCCACCAGGCATTAAATTGACCGGTTCTTTAGGATTTCCCAGCTCCTCCCATAGCTTGCCCACTTGCGACTTGGATATTTCATATTTCGTCTTTCCGTCTGCCGTAGTTGGCTCCGCTTTTGTAGGAGCTTCTGCCTGTGAAGCTTGATCCCGAGAATCTGCTGCCATGACTGCTCTAAGTTGCTCCGAGAGATGACTTGTTGTTACCTCCTGCCTTCAAAAATTCTTCCCACGTCTCTTGCATCCCTGGGAGGAAAAGCTTGGCGCATGCCAAGGCGTGCATCTGGAATTGGAATATTTACCCGCGCCGCTTCAATTAAACACTGGAAACCTTAAAGAAACGCGAAGAAACGCGCCTGACGCGATTAAATAGATTATCTCAGAGTTTCTTCCTCAACATGAACTTTGCCGTAAAACGCTCTCTTCCGGAAGGGTTGTTGCTTTCTTTCGATGCAGCCTGTTTTACGCTGCTTCTTAACCTAATGGATCTATTGTAACCTGCAGTTTTCCTTTCTTCGCACATTTTTCAACAATACGATTGTTGACACGAGCCGAAGATGGCCCGCCGACCAGGCAAATATGGCCACAATTACAGATCGCAGTCGTCGTCTTTTATACCGAAAAAATCAAAGACCATTGGTGTATCGTCCCTAAGGTCAAGCGAGGCGACCTCTCAAGATGAGAAATTCCAAGCGTTGCGTATTGCAGACGGGATCGATGAGACGATGGGATTTGCACGATATGAAGCGGGGAAGAAACGAATCGGATGGCTATGCAACATGCATAGTACAACAATTGAGGATTCAAAGGTACCCGGCGGCCGAGCTGCCGTGGAATTTTATTTCCTCGAAGAGAACGGGGGCAGTTTCAAGGCGGCTGTCGAATATGATCCTTATTTCCTAATAGCTACAAAGCAAGGACGTGAAGCAGAGGTAGAGGAATGGTGCAAGCGGACATTCGAAGAGCTAGTGAAAGGAGTAAAAGTGGTGGAAAAGGAGGATTTGAAAATGCCAAATCATTTACTGGGGTATAAAAGGAAGTTTTTGCAGTTGAGCTTTTCCAACGTCTCAGATCTGCTGGCAGTACGAAAAACCATCTTTCCCATTGCGGTAAAAAACAGAAAAAATGTCAATGCAATGGATACCTACGCGGAGCTTGCAAGGTGAGTATTCACTTTGATTAATCCCCGGGAGTACTAACCTAACATTAATAGTGCAAACGCTGGGTTTGATCTCTTTGATGATGACTCGAATAATCGCGGACAAAATTCACTGCAAGATGCTGCAGACTACATTGTGGATATCAGAGAATATGATGTTCCATACCATGTCCGTGTCTCGATCGATAAAGGTAATTATTCTGACTAAACCTTAGTGATTGATTGTGTCTAACATAACCTAGACATTCGCATTGGAAAGTGGTACACAGTTCAAACAATCCATGGACTTATAACGTTGACCTGTCTCGAGGAAAGGCTGCAGAGAGCCGACCCCGTCGTTCTTGCATATGATATAGAAACCACAAAACTCCCCCTGAAATTTCCGGATGCTGCTATTGATCAGATTATGATGGTATCGTATATGATTGATGGACGGGGTTACCTGATTACAAATAGGGAAATAGTCTCTGAAGATATCAACGATTTTGAATATACCCCCAAACCTGAATACCCTGGCCCCTTTACGATTTTTAATGAACCGGATGAGAAAGCTGTTTTAGAACGTTTCTTTAGCCACATCAAGGAAGCAAAGCCAAGCGTTATGGTCACTTATAACGGCGACTTTTTCGATTGGCCCTTTGTTGAGGCACGAGCAAGCGTCCAAGGGATTGACATGTATGCTGAAATCGGCTTTCGAAAAAATAGTGAGGACATATACCGAAGTGACTATTGCGCTCACATGGACGCATTTTCGTGGGTAAATCGTGATAGTTATCTCCCACAGGGAAGTCGTGGCCTGAAAGCCGTTACAGTTGCGAAGCTAGGATACGACCCCGATGAGCTTGACCCGGAATTAATGACCAGATACGCGAGTGAACGGCCTCAAACACTAGCCGAATACTCGGTTTCCGATGCGGTAGCGACGTATTACCTATATATGAAATATGTCCATCCATTTATCTTTTCACTCTGCACCATTATCCCACTCAATCCAGACGAGGTCCTTCGAAAAGGCACTGGAACTCTATGTGAGATGTTATTGATGGTCCAAGCCTATCAGCATAACATTATATTACCCAACAAACATACGGATCCAAACGAATCGTTTTATGAAGGTCATCTTCTTGACTCCGAGACTTATGTCGGAGGCCATGTGGAAAGTATTGAAGCCGGTGTATTCCGCAGTGATATCCCTGTTAATTTTACCGTTGAGACTGCTGCTATTGACGAACTCCTTCGTGACCTCGATGCAGCGCTCGAGTTCAGTATAACCGTGGAAGAAAAGAAATCTATGGAAGATGTGGTTAATTACTCCGAAGTCAAGGCACAGATTATGGAAAGGCTGCTGAATTTGAAGAATTGCCCAAATAGAAATGAGAGACCATCTATCTACCATTTGGATGTTGCTTCTATGTATCCAAACATCATGACTACAAACAGACTACAACCGGATTCAATGATCAATGAGTCCGACTGCGCTGCCTGCGACTTCAACCGGCCTGGCAAAACCTGTGATAGACGCTTGCCATGGTCTTGGAGAGGAGAATTTTTGCCAGCAAAACGTGATGAGTATAATATGATCCGACGAGCTGTTGAAAATGAAAAATTCCCTGGAAAGACAAAGAACCACCCACCTAGGAGTTTCGAGAGCCTTGACGAGAGTGAGCAAGCCACGATTGTGAAGAAACGGTTACAAGAATACAGCAAGAAAATTTACCACAAAATTCGCGAAACTAGAACTATCGAGCGTGAAGCTATTATTTGCCAAAGAGAAAACCCTTTCTACGTTGATACCGTCCGCAACTTCAGAGATCGAAGATACGATTTCAAAGGCAAACAGAAGGTCTGGAAAGGCAAGGTAGAATCTCTCAAGTCTTCTGGAGCTGCGAATTCGGAAATTGAAGAAGCAAAAAAAATGGTTGTTCTCTTTGACTCTCTGCAGCTTGCCCATAAAGTTATTCTGAACAGTTTCTATGGCTATGTGATGAGAAAAGGTTCTCGGTGGTATTCTATGGAGATGGCTGGTGTTACCTGCTTGACCGGAGCGCATATCATTCAAATGGCAAGGGAGCTAGTGGAGCGAATTGGACGGCCTTTAGAACTTGATACAGATGGTATTTGGTGCATGTTACCAGGCACTTTTCCAGAGAACTTCGTGTTCAAACTTGTAAATGGCAAAAAGCTCGCCATTTCATACCCCTGCGTTATGTTGAACCACCTAGTTCATGGCCGATTTACAAACCACCAGTATCAGACCCTCTCGGATCCTTCTACGTTCAAATACACAACTCACAGTGATAATTCCATCTTTTTCGAAGTGGACGGTCCTTATAGAGCAATGATTCTACCAACCTCAAAGGAAGAGGATAAAAACTTGAAAAAGCGTTATGCTGTATTCAACCACGATGGATCCCTTGCTGAATTGAAAGGGTTTGAAGTCAAACGAAGAGGAGAGCTCAAACTTATCAAGGTGTTCCAGACGCAAATTTTCAAGTTCTTTCTCGAAGGCTCTACACTTGAAGAGACCTATGGGGCTGTGGCTGAAGTTGCGAACAGATGGCTGGATGTTTTGGATATGCATGGCTCAACACTAGCAGACGAGGAACTCATCGATATGATTTGTGAGAATAGGAGTATGTCCAAAACCATTGAGGAATACAGTGGTCAAAAATCTACGTCTATCACCACTGCCAAACGGCTTGCTGAATTCCTTGGGGAGCAAATGATCAAAGATAAAGGGTTAAACTGCAAGTATATCATTTCTGCAGCACCCAGAAACTCCCCTATCACGGAAAGAGCTGTGCCCGTTGCTATATTTTCAGCCGAGGAAAATATTAAACGATTTTTCCTGCGCAAGTGGCTGAAAGAGGACCCTGGAGATATGGACCCGCGTACAATAATTGACTGGGATTATTACCTAGAACGATTGGGATCTGTGATTCAGAAATTGATAACTATACCCGCTGCTCTGCAGAAAATTTCCAATCCTGTCCCAAGAGTTGCTCACCCAGATTGGCTTCAGCGGCGGATTAATACCAAGGAAGACAGGTTCAAGCAAAAGAAAATGACCGATATCTTCACCAAAAATCCACTAGCAAATATCTCGACAAATATTATGGATCATCGTATTCCTTCTGCTGGTGATATTGAAGACATAATGCAACGTCGAAGTCAGAAACCAGGTACACAGTCAGGGAACAAGCTCATTCAGAAACGGAAAGCCCCAGGAGACAACACTACATTCCAAGACCCTTTTGCCAGTCTCCCGCCGGTAATGCCTTCGATAGATAAGAATTATGAGGACTGGCTACGCTACCAGAAACAGAAATGGAAGATTCAGAAGCAAGCACGCCTCCGTCGCCGCAAGCTCTTTGGTGCTAAGAAAACCGCAACTTCTGATTCAATTGGCAGTTTCTTCCGAAACCAGGCTGAGCTGACTTACGTCAATACCTGGCAGATATTACAGCTTAGGGAGACTAGCAGCCCGGGTGAGGTGAAAGCATTTGTACTGATTGATCGGAAAGTACACACCATTACTATCAAAATCCCACGCCAGATATTTATCAATTTCAAAGACGTGAATCTCCCAGATGTTGATATAACTGGCTGTTCTGTGCAGAAAGTCAATCACACGCTGCCAAACGGCCACCCTTCTGTCCATCTATTCCAACTGAGCATGCCGGAAGAGACATATCTGAGAGAAGCGTCAAAGATATCACTACTACTTAACCACCCAAGCGTTGAAGGAGTGTATGAGAAGAAAGTGCCGTTCAACGTTCGGGCCGTCCTCAAGCTTGGAAATCATTGCACCTTCGATGAAGAGCAGCGAGGAGTTCTCGGCAAAGGTTTGGAGCGTGGCTTTGATTTATCAAGTCTTCTCCCAGCTCCAGAACCGGGTGTATATCTTGAAGGAGCAGAATTTCAATACGTCCTGCTCTATCATATAGTCTCCGGCGAGCGTGAGATATTCTCAGTTTTCTCCACCAAATCTAGAGAAGCTCACATTGTG